ATCCATACATGACTACTGGAAAAACCACATAGCTTTGACTAGATGGACCACTGTCAGTAAAGTAATGTCTCTGCTTTTTAATAGGCTGTCTAGTTGGTCACAGCTTTTCTTCCAAGGAACATCTTTTAATTTCATGGCTGCAGTCACCATCTGCAGTGATTTTGGAACCCAAGAACATAAAGCCTGTCACTGTTTCCATTGTTTCCCCATCTATTTGCCATGAAGTGATGGGACCGGATGCCACGATCTTCGTTTTCTGAATGTTGAGTTTTAAGCCAACTTTTTCACTCTCCTCTTTCACTTTCATCAAGAGGCTCTTTAGTTCTTTTTCACTGTCTGTCATAAGGGTGGTGTCATCTGCATATTTGAAGTTATTGATATTTCTCCTGGTAATCTTGATTCCAGCTTGTTTCATCCAGCCTGGCATTTTGCATGATGTACTCTGACTATAAGTTAAATAAGCAGGGTGACAATATACAGCTTTGACATACATACTCCTTTCCTGATTTGGAACCAGTCTGTTCCATGTCCAGTTCTAACTGTTGATTCTTGACCTGCATACAGATTTCTCAGGAGGCAGGTAAGGTGGTCTGGTATTCCCACCTCTTAAGAATTTTCCAGTTTGTTGTGATCCACACAAAGGCTTTGGCATAGTCAATAAAGCAGAAGTAGATGTTTTCCTGGAACTCTCTAGCTTTTTTGATAATCCAATGGATGTTGACAATTTGATCTCTGGTTCCTCTGCCTTTTCTAAACCCAGCGTGAACTACTGGAAGTTCACGGTTCACATACTGTTGAAGCCCGGCTTGGAGAATTTTGAGCATTACTTTGCTAGCGTGTGAGACAAGTGCAATTGTGAACTAGTTTGAACATTCTTTGGCATTGCCTTTCTTTGGGATTGGAATGAAAACTGACCTTCTCCAGACCTGTGGCCGCTGCTGAGTTTTCCAAATTTGCTGGCAGATTGAGTGTAGCACTTTCACAGCATCATTTTTTTAGGACTTGAAATAGCTCAACTGGAATTCCATCACCTCTGCTAGCTTTGTTCATAGTGATGCTTGCTAAGGCCCACTTAACATTCCTGGACGTCTGGTTCTAGGTGAGTGATCACACCATCATGGTTATCTGGGTCGTGAAGATCTTTTTTTGTACAGTTCTTCTGTGTATTCTTGCCACCTCTTCTTAATATTTTCTGCTTCTGTTAGGTCCATGCCATTTCTGTCCTTTATTGTGCCCATCTTTGCATGAAGTATTCCCTTGGTATCTCTAATTTTCTTGAAGAGATCTCTAGTCTTTTCCATTCTATTGTTTCCCTCTATTTCTTTGCACTGCTCACTGAAGAAGGCTTTTTTATTGCTCCTTGCTATTCCTTGGAACTCTGTATTTAAATGGGATATCTTTCCTTTTCTCCTTTGCCTTTAGCTTTTAAAAAATTTACTTTATATTGGAATATAAAGTCCACGGGGTCGCAAAGAGTCAGACAAAACTGAGAGATTGTAACACTTCACACTTCATAGTTGATTTGCAATGTTTCTAGTTTTATGTGCACAACAAAGTGATTCAGTTATACCTACACAATTTTTCAGATTATTTTCCCATTTAGGTTATGACAGAATATTGATTCCCGTGTGCTATACAATAGGTCCTAGTTGACTATTTTATTTATCAGTTCAGTTCAGTTGCTCAGTTGCGTCTGACTCTTTGCAACCCCATGGACTGCAGCACACCAGGCTTCCCTGTCCATCACCAACTCCCAGAACTTGCTCAAACTCATGTCCATCAAGTCAGTGATGCCGTCCAACCATCTCATCCTCTGTCGTCCTCTTCTCCTCCTGCCTTCAATCTTTCCCAGCATCAGGGTCTTTTCCAAAGAGTCAATTCTTCACATCTGGTGGCCAAAGTATTGGAGTTTCAGCTTCAGCATCAGTCCTTCAGTGAATATTCAGGACCGATTTCCTTTAGTGTGTATATATTAATCTCAACCTAATTTACCCCTCCCCCTACCACCTTTCCCCTTTGATAACCATAAGTTTATTATCTAAGCCTGTGAATCTGTTTCTGTTTTATAAATAAGTTCACTTGTATGATTTTTTTTTAGATTCCACATGTGATTATTGTATGAAATTTGTCTTTCTCTGAATTCACTTAGTGTGATAATCTCTAGGTCCATCCATGTTGCTGCAAGTGGCATTATTTCACTCTTTTTTTATGGCTAAGACAAATATATTTTTACATTTTTTAAATAGTCTTTTTGCTGATCCCTGATGCAGATCATTAGAACTGTCCAGACATTTTTAGGTCAGTGTACGAAATATGTTTTCTTTAATGAGAGTGGAAGTGGAGGGTAGTTCTATATGACTGACTAATGCCAAAGAGCAAAGCGATGATCAGTCTAACCCCCAAAGGTCTGTGTGAAGGCACATGTGTTGTCAGGCTCCCTAATACCAAAGCTTAATAGAGACCCTAAACAAATATAGGCAGTATTCGCCACTCTTCCCTCAAGCATTTTAAGTATGAAGGAAAAGAAGTGAGAGAAAACAGAAAATTAGGAACTGCATCAGACACAATGAAAACTTCAACCTCAAGATTTATGAGGGTCAGGGAGAGAAAAAGCAGCTAACAGTTATTAAGTACACGGTGAGAATAAGTTCCCACTCCATGTTAGCACTTCATACGTACTTTCACTTGACCAATTTTCTAATTTTAAGAAGAGAGACTGAATAGCGTTATTTGAAAAGAATGGTGACATGAGAGCCAAGAGCCAGGGGTCGGAGTTTTGGCTATAACTAAGCTCTGTAGCCTTGGGACAAGTCAGATGATCCTCTGGAACATTAGTGTCTTTGTGAACAACCTGGCTGGGAAAATTAATTTCTCTTAAGTTTCTGTAGTGTTTTAAAATTCTCTGGTTCTCTGTTCTGATTTGTATGTATCAGGATAAAATCTATAGATTTTTTTCCCCTTATTTTTCTTACTGTTCTCTGCCCATATACCCCAGAGATATTGCCAAGGCAGAAGAATGGAGTACAGACCAAAACAAATAATTCAAACAGATTTTTAAAGCATGTAGCATAGATATTAGTCTAAAGGTTAAAGTTCTTTCTACTTACAAGACTCAGCCACTTGAAAAGAGACGGTATCTACTTGAATTCTAAAAATCTGACTTTGCTTTGCTCATCAGGAGCAAAGAGTGATTCATGTAGCTGTTTAACTCAGTCTTAAACAGTCAGGGTTGCTAAGAACACTGTAAAACGCTGCCTGTATTTTTTCTCAAGTTGATATTTCTTCCGGTCAACAACAGAAATCCTGATTTCTCAACAAAATGATGTGTGGTATAACAGAAGCGCCTACACCCTCCTTCTTGCTCATGGAGAATATTGTCCTGAGAGGCTGACTTGCTGTAACTCAAGAAACTGGCAATCCTGTAGAGGAAACGTCTATTGAGTCAATGAGTGTGTAATTTCTAAGAAGAGAAGAGTGTCTTAGGGGAAAAAAAAAAGACCTTAGGAGCTCCTACACTGAACAAACAGAAAGAAAGGGTCTACCATTAGGAGCAGACCTGAATTAAGTCTCACAACTGTGGAAGTCTGTGGACTTCTCTGTTGTCGTAAGATTTGAAATAAGAACACCCTGGAGGGAATTCCCCGATGGTTCAGTAGTTAGGATGCCACACTTCCACTGTAGAGAGCTCGGGTGCAATCCCTGGTCAGGGAACTAAGATCTGGCATGCCGCGTGGCATGGCCAAAGTAAAAAAACAAAACAAAACAAAAAAAGAATATGCTGGATTTGATAAATATTTATTGGATAAATAATAATGCCACTATAATTTCTAAAAGACTTACACAGATTCCACCAACACACCACTAATCTAAGTTCTTACAGGTTTAACATTACACAGAGACTTCAAGATAACCTAGGAGTCTTTGGCTCCATTTAACAGAAAAAGGACCGCTGAGGGTCATTTTACCTCTCTCAGTCTCGGTCTTGTCTTCTGGAAAAGGGGACTACAATTGCTTCCTTTCCTAACCTCCGGAATGGTTCTGAAGACCAAAAGCAATCATGTAAAATAATTTTACATACTATTTTTTGCACTTACCCAAACATTTTTAAGAATCTGCATAAAATAACCTATAACAGGCTTATATATAACAATATGTACACATACCATGTATTTTTGCTTTGTGTATACTCATATAAATTACACATACAGTTCAATCTGAAAACAGTCACCAGTCTACAAAGAATCATTAGCTGAGACAATTCACAGTAGGCATACTCTCCTTACAAATACAAAGAAGTACAAGGGGTTTTGCAATTAAAAGTAGACATACTGCTTTACTATCTGCATTGTTTTCATTTTTGGAAGCAGAGCAAAGGGTGACCAGAAGGTGGGAAGTTGAAGGAGGGCTGATGAGTAGTGAAGACAGGCAGAAACATGGAAAATCTGAACAAGGCCAGCAGAAGGAAGAAAATGAAGGCATAAACTAAGATTCCAAAAAGTTGCTTTGTGTACAATTGCACCATCCTGCATCAACTGGCTTTCTTTTATTTGATGTCCTCTGATCAGTTCTCCTTCCAGCACAAACTGGAGAAAGCAAATTCCTCTGCTGTTCTGGAGTCTTCTGATATAAATTACAGGTCTGCATCAAGATATGTGGAGCAAGGATGACCACTGACTTGTGCACCTGGGAAAGTTAAGGCAGTATGGTCTACTTCTGGAAAGGCCTGGATTCTCTTTGATTCCAGTGGGAAAAAACCCCAGCCCCAGCAATGCCCAGAACGGACAGTAGAAGGCAGATGGGCACTGGCTTCGGGAAGATGTACAGACAGATCAGTTCTTTCCTGTTGTCTGAGTCTCCTCTACTGCCCCCTCTGTTAACGGACAGGACGGGACTGTCCCGCAGGAAGAGCAGGTGGCCTTGACTCGGCTGAGTACAAATCACTGACTGAGGATCAGCAACTGGCAGTCCTGGAGTCTCCAGACTTCAATGAGCAAGCACAGTTACAGTTCTCCCAACTCGCCTTCCATCGCCCGCACCATGACGTAGAGCTCGGCCAGACCCACCACAGAGGCCACGATCAAGGCAGCCAGTACCCGCTGGGAAGGGAGAGAATCAGGCTTACGTGATGCAGACCAGCTTCCAGCTCTGCAGCCTCTAGCACCCAACAAGGATGGAGAGGACCTCAACCCAGCCCGTAAGTTGGGGGGAAGGGAAGAAAACCAGATCCTGATTCTTCTGAGGTTATTATCTACCTCCATGACTGTCGGACAGATCAAACACTCCCTTCGTTTATCATATAAATACAAAACCTGTTCAAGGCATTTTCGCGTACCTCCTCCCTATCCCACCAACACTCCCAACTGGGGCACCCTGCCCTACACAGAATCTACTCACCGAGGTCATTTCTGTGAAGATATACTGGCTTCCAAGGTAAGTGCAGACAAAGGCAGCCGCCACCGTGACAATGAAGTTGAAGATGGTGATGACCAGAGCCTTCACTGACCTCACTTTGGGGAGGAGCCCGGGCAAGAAACTTTTAGGTCAGCATCCTCCACGAGGCCCTTTTATCTCACAGCTGCCTCCCCCATCAGCCAGGCTTCCCTCAAAGAGCAAGCCTGAACAGCTCAGGCTTAAGTCCTGAGTAATGGAGTGGGAAGGAGGACCATGGCTGACCCATCCCAGTGAGAGGCTTTCGCAGCCTGATTTCCTAGTACCTCACCTTGCTTTCCCAGGTCACTGAGAGTTCCGCCATGCCTTGGATCCTTGGAAAAAGCAAAAGCAAAGGATTTCAGAATGGAAGCAGCCCAGAGAGTATTCATTGGTCAGTCTGGGCTCAGCCCTCTTTATTACCCAACACACTAGTTCTGTCTTCTCCCTGGATTTTGTCTAGGACCAGTTGGATTCTTCTCTGGATCAAGCATTTCAGAGAAGAGATTTGTTTTTCCAGTACCCGTGTATCCCTCTCTTCCTCTGGGCCAGGTGCATGCCAAAGAAAAGTAGGGTGCTCTGTCAAAAGAACAGCTCCAGGCTCATCTCCACCTCTACAACCTTTAAAAATCAGTCACCATCTGAGCTGACAGTCTCAGTAAACAGGATGGGAACTGTATTTGGCTTGTACGCAGCACAGAGCTTCTACAGTCCCTTAATATTAATAGTATACAAACCAGGTTTCCATGTTGTTTCTTCCATCTGTGCATCTTCCTAGTGCAGGGCCCTGCTTTCAGGGGCTACAGGGTCCACACATTGAAGAGTGGGCTCTTACCTGACAGGTGACATTGCGGGTGATCCGCTTATATTCCTCATTGGCCAGCTGTATCTTAATCTTTTCCAGACGAGCAACTAGCTCTGGGTTCTGAGGCAGAAAAATCAAACAAGAAGAATGATATTTCCAGCTTGCTAGAAAACACGTCACAATCACTGATTTCAGGGGGCAAAGTACTGCTAAGAATACCCAAGCACCAGTCCTGCCTCCAGTGCTTTGGAAACTATTGTCTTTTTTTGGGGGGTATCAGTTTTCCAAGCTGTCAGACTGGGAGGACAATATCTGGTTTCCTCCACCCCAGCTCTCAAGGATTCAAAGAACAAATTTTGCGCTCAAAGATTCATAAATTTGGAAGCAAAATGAATAAACCCAACTGAGTCAACATCCATTTTCACAAATATAATCCCTTACGTACCCGAGGAGGCTTCACCACCTCTGGGAGATAGATTTCACTGCCTTCTAGGAGCTCATGAAGGTATAGTTTGGAACCTGAGGAAAAATGCATAGAGGTGAAGTTGAAGGATCAGAAAAGGATCTAGTCCACCAATTCTTTTTTTTTGGCAGTGCCATGAGGTATGTGGGAACTTAGTTTCCCAGCTAGGGTTCAAACCCACACCCTCTGCATTGAGAGCACGGCATCTTAACCACTGGACTGCCAAAGAAGTCCCCAGCCCACCAAGTCTTTCTACCAGAATAAAACATGGCTATTCTTGTATCAGTTCATCTCTAGGATCATTTTCAATTGGGAAGAAACTAAGATAATCCCACATACATTAAGTATATCCTAGTGCTGCATAGTGACTTTAATTGTTGGCTCTCAATTACCCAACCAATGTCACAGCTAGTAACACGTAGGTCATTTATATTCATCTTTAAGTTAGGTCATTTCTGTGGCCACAATAGAACTTGCCCTAAATAGATTTAAGGCCTAGTGGTGGTGAATACTTAGAGGACACTGTGCTAGATGACCTCTAAGGTCCTTTTTAGTTTTAATAATTGAATAATCTACCCTTCCCATTTCTGGGCAGGCTGTTAATTCTGGCAAAAGACCTTACCTGCCAGTTTGTCATATTGGACCCCTTTACATATAAAGGAACAGAGGCTCAAGGAAGAGAAATGACTCCTCCACAAAGAGTCAATAGCAGAGTCAGGACTACAATTCAGATGCCACTCCCAGTCCAGAGCTTTCAAAAGAACTTCCCGTCATTCTATATCCAAAAACAAAAACCAACCAACTCTATCAGATGGGACCACTCTTAAGATGGAAAGAAATCTAGATTCACATACAGGGTGAGCTCACTATGTTGTTATTATTATTTTTTTAATGTGGCTTAAAAGAAAGAAACTGAACCTGTGCAGTGCTACTGAGTTAGAATGTGGACTTTCTCAAGGGTCACGTGGGCCTAGACGTAAAGATGAGACTCAAGAGAACAGGAACTGCACAATAAATTTTGTCATCCACGAAAAATTCCCATGGAAATTATAAAGAGAGTAGGTTGGTTCCCCAGGGTTTATGAGGTGACTCTTGGGTTGGCCAGATGATCATTCCATGGGTGAAAGAGAGTGATGGATTTGAAACCCAGTCCCCCTAAAACTGAGTTTCCTTACTGACCTTACGATTAATCTCTCTATCCAAAACTTTATTCCTTTTCCTGTCCCCTGTAACTTCTATCCTGTGTTAACAGGCTCAGATGATTAAAACTGCTATGTTGACAACATCTTTAATGTACTGCTATAAATATCATCATTAACCTGAAAACTCCGGTTGCTTCTCCAGGGCAAAGTGAGCTAACAGACACAGGAGCCAAGGACCACTTGACCTGAGAATCCTAAATCAGAGAGATTCTGACTCCTGAAACCACAATTAGGAAATATCACACGACAATTATTCCCAGCCTCTTTGTTCTCCTCCTTTAAACGAAAATTCCTTAACTCAAATTCCAAACTAGAGTGGATTTGAGCTTGTTTCCCGTTCCCTTGCTTGGCACCCTGCATTAAATACTGTACTTTTCTTCAACAGAACCGTGCCTCAGTATATTGGGTTTGCTGGGAGTCATGAAAGAAGCCGCGAGTTTGGTTCAGCAACAGATACACCGCTCAGGAAAAAAGACCTCAGGACGGCCTAAACTCTGGAAAAAAAAGAGGCGACCCTGAACCGGAGACTGGGGCTCACCCCTTTCTCTCAAGTACTGATGCAGATCCCGGATCAGGCGGAAAGAAACCAGGCGAGCCGGGCGATTGCCGCCCTTGTGCTTCTTCCCTAGCGCGGCCTCAAGCTCTGCCCGCAACTTCCCGGGTAGTTGCTCTGGCTCCAGCTCCCCACCAGGACCCAGAGCGCGTACAAATCGCTCGCCAGCTAACAAGCAAGACGCCATGACTAGCCGACTTCACGGTCAGGTGACCCAGAACCGAGACATCCGTCCGCCTGCGCCGGAAGAAGCGCGAAGCTCGCGGGGCGGGGCAGAGGGCCTAGGAGGCGGGGCAACGGCGCGGGGCAGTGTGGGGCGGGGGCGGAACGCCGCCCGGCCGCGGGTCGGGCAGTGTGTCAGCAGCCCAGCGGGCGCTCGGGCGAGACATGGCGGGCTGTGTGGCCCGGCGGGCCCTGACCGTGGGCAGTCGTTGGTGGTCCCGGTCGCTGACTGGGACCCGGGGGCCGAGGCCGCTCTGTGCGGCGGGTGGAGCTGGGGCCTTCCCACCCGTGGCGGCCACGACGACGCGGAGGCACCTCTCGTCCCGGTGAGGGACGGAACGCGGGGGTCGGGCCCGGAGCCTAGGGAGCGTGTCCCGGGCCAGAGGGCCCAGCGGCAGAGGGTGATAGGAGTTCGACCCGGGGGAAAGTTCCGGCCGAGAGCCGACCTGCGCTACCTGGGACGCGTGCCAGGAGCGAGGAAGGGAGCGCGGCCCAGAGTCCTGGATTGTGCCGGACTGGCCCTGAGGGGGAACTAGTAACCCTCTCGGAGCAAAGCCTACTTCCTCGAATGCGGGCATCCGAGCGCCACTGTTAGTGAGAAGTCCTTCAATTAAGTGCTAGGGCTTTTGATTTGAACCCCCAGCCCGTGACTGAGGGTCAAGGCCTCCCTCAGAAAGATGCTGGAAATGGGAAACAGGACCCGTGTCTGCGCCCTGCGTGGGTCCCAGGCTTCAGTGTGACCTTGGGGGCACATTCTCTCTTCGTGTGACTTGAGGAAGGAGGGGGTTTGAGGCCACGGGGATGGTGTGAACAGTGTGCCTAGGGATGGGACCAGAGAGATCAAATTGGGGCAGGTGAACCAAGTGGAAGCAGACATGGAGTTCACCTCTCCACAATAGTAAGAAAACGGTGCTTTGAAGGGCCCCCAGAAAAAGCAGTCCAGTCCAGAAGTCACTGTGAGAGCTGACCTTTTAGTGGCTGAGATGAGACACGGACATGGGGGAGAGATGATAGCTATTTGCAATTTAAGACTCCTCTGAAAATTGATATAAATCTGAACAAAAACTAGATTGAGAGAATAACATTGGTGCAATGCCAGGACGAGGACTGCAGTTTAGAGGTGGGGATGGACATGGCATGATGACACAAAAGAAGTTTTCTTTTGAGCACCCCTTATACCCTAGGCTCTGAGAGGGAGCACAGGCTAATCAGACACAAGCATTGCTCCCGGGGAACTTACAGTCTCTAACAGAGATAAGACAGTGACACAAATAACTGAAATGCAAGGTGGGAAAGGCAGTCACTCACTGCTGTGGGAGGTCAGGAGGATGGGTCAGGGAAGAATTGGAGGCAAGGGTCTGAGGGTGTGATACGAGGAATGCTAAGAGTCAAGAGGGAAGAAAGTGATCTGGGAGCTGTAGATCTCATGGGCATCTGTGGCTGGACCTCAGAGGCGAAGCAGCAGAATCTCTGTGTCGAGGGGTGGCTTGGCAGGACCCTTCCCTGCTTCAGCTGGCCCCACTGCTGCGACCCTTCTCTGCTGTCATGGCCCCCGCCCTCCCAGTATCCTAGTAGCTTTTTCTGATGGATTAGTACCCTTCACTTCTTAGCTTTTCAGTTGCTTGTTCTTTTTCCTTCCTAATCAGAAACCGACCAGAGGGCAAAGTTTTGGAGACAGTTGGTGTGTTTGAGGTGCCAAAACAGAATGGAAAATATGAGACCGGACAGGTGAGTGCAGGGCGGCATCATCCTTCGTTTTCACGGTGTGCTCAGCTTCTGAAAGGGTAAAATTTGGCCACAGGCTTGGACATCATGATTTTCTGCCTTGGTGTTTGGTGCCAGACCAGAATCAAAAGTTTTGTTGTTTTAAGATGGTTTTTTTTCCCCTGTTTTCCTGGATTTGAATGCACTTCATGCGTCATCGGGTTTTGTTTCCAAGTTAGTGTGGACAGAGATGGTTTGAACTATATTGAGGAGAAAGTCCTATTGCTGAAGAGTCATCTAACATAGTGGTTGGTGGGAAGTCAGTGGAGGGAGCTTTCAGAAAAGCACCCCTGCTTTTCTGATGCTTTGTTCTAGTTGAATTGAGTGCAGTGAATTAAGTTCTGGGTGTGAGGCTCTTTTTCTGAGTTAGTTTTATGCCAGATCTTCTGAGATAGATTTAGGCCTCTTGTAGATAAGAAGGACTTTTTGTTTATTCAGCCTTTTTCCTCTGTATGCCTCTAATAGACAGGGCTTTATGCATTGGTATTAAATCAGAAAGCAGTTCTTTCATGGAGTTGACAGTCTAAGAAAAGAATTATAGTATGCACATGGTTCACAGCTGTACACTGTGCCAAGTGGAAGGGAGGGAAGGGAAGGGAAGACTTCCTCGAGGCCTCAGCTATGGCCTGATGGCTGAGTAGAAGTCAGCCAGGTAAAGGGACAATAAGTGTGTTCCACAGTTGGTCTGGGTGGATCTCAGAGTCCAAGGGAAGGAATAGCAAGACCTTGTGCTGGGATTGCCACCACCTGTGCCACTTGGTGGTCTGGGCCCCGCCTGGATGCACCCGCTAGGCTGCAGACTTACTGAAGCCTCTCTTTTCTCTCAGCTTTTCCTTCACAGTGTTTTTGGCTACCGAGGTGTTGTCCTGTTTCCCTGGCAGGCCAGACTCTATGACCGGGATGTGGCTTCTGCAGCCCCAGAAAAGTAAGTTTCCCTCTCATTGTGCCTCACAGTATCCTCTGGAGGAGGCCCGACCCATGGTAGACCTACGTAATTGGAGTCCCAGCGGTGAAGACAGAATCATCCTGAGCCTTAGGAATAGTCCCAGAACACTCCCTTGACACTGATGCCCATGGAGACAAAAGTGCCCATGGAGCACTGAGTGCTGAGTCTTAAGCCAAAGGGTCCCTTCGGGCCTCCCCAGGATGCTTACCCCAGGCATTCTTAGTTTGCATTATCAGTACCCCAGAGGGCATTTGGGGAACTGGGCTTCTTGATTTCTTGATGTTCAGTTAGAAGCTTTCTCTTCATCTCTTACCATCACTAGAGTACATTTAAAAAAAAGAAGAGGCCCAGCTCCATTAAGTGATCACAGAGAGCCCCTGGGATGTGAGAAGAGTGGGGTGCTCTGGGCTCCAGGGACTGAAGCAGCAGTTTGATTTTCTCAGCTTGGCCCCTTTTTTAAAGAGGCATCCAGAGAGTAAGATAAAGGATGACTCTTCACCACACTCTATTGGTTGTTCCTGACTGGGGAGCGCTGGGCCAGTGTGTGCTGAACATCTGACCAGCTGCTGCTAAGCCCCTTCAGTTCAGGCACTGGTCTGTTTAGGTGAGGGGGTGGTAGGGAGCTGGGGCAGGCCCTGCTTCCATTTCTCAGGTTGATCTTGGGCTTTTCCTCCTGCCCCATAGAACAGAGAACCCTGCTGGCCACGGCTCAAAGGAGGTGAAAGGCAAAACTCACACTTACTATCAGGTGCTGATTGATGCCCGAGACTGTCCACATATAGTAAGTAAGCAAGGTCGCTGCGCCTGGGGTTCCTCTCCATGGGGAAGGCCTGGACCCTGATGGGGACTAAGAGAAGGAGAGGGATTCAACAGTTCCACACTGCACTGGGCCCCAGGTCCTCAGGACTGGATAGTGACTGAGAAAACCTCTGACTTGCCTCTTGCCTTAGTCTCAGAGATCTCAGACAGAAGCTGTGACTTTCTTGGCTAATCACGATGACAGCCGGGCCCTCTATGCCATCCCAGGTGAGTTATGAGCATCTGAGTGGTGCCTATCAGTGAGGGGTCTGGTGTGTCTCAGGGAGAGAATACCAGTGCCTTTCTGCTGTCCTCGAATCTGCTGGGAGGGCGTGTAGATGCTGAGAGCTGTGGTGCCAGGGTCGTCCCACCCTGGGACAAGGCCAAGAAATTGAGTTTCTTTTCAGCCCCACTCTTCCCCATTCCTTCGTGAGTTTCCCATCTCTGTCTCTCTGCCAGGCCTGGATTATGTCAGCCATGAAGACATCCTCCCCTACACCTCCACTGATCAGGTTCCCATCCAGCACGAGCTCTTTGAAAGATTTCTTCTGTATGACCAGACAAAAGGTACCCTCTCTCATAAAGGGAAGCTGGAATGGGAGGGCCCTTTCTTCAAAGACAGTGTCACAGAAGCAGTTTCAAAGCTCTGTTTCTACAACTCTTATTTAACCTCCCTTTAGACCTGTCAGGTAGATGGCCTTTATCTCCTCCTCACAGATAGGGAAACATGCTCAGGGATGATGAGAGCGACTCAAGGTTGCTAGGTAGTGGCAGAGTGAGATCTGAGAGCCAGGGCTCCCAACTCCCAGGCCATTTCTCTTCTCCTGACGTCATATTCCTCCTTGGGGCTTATTCTTGGTAGGGAGCTCTGTGCCTTCTTCCAGCCTTGCTGCTTTGGCTCATGTGTCTTATTTACCTTGGCCATCACTGGGAAGGGTTTTATAAGAGAAGCAGTTGGCCGCTGGCCTGGTCTAACCAGTCATTTCTTGCCCCAGCACCCCCTTTTGTGGCTCGGGAGACACTACGGGCCTGGCAGGAGAAGAATCACCCTTGGCTGGAGCTCTCTGATGTCCACCGGGAAACAACTGAGAATATCCGTGTCACCGTCATCCCCTTCTACATGGGCATGAGGGTAGGTGCTGAGCCTTGGTACCTTCCTTCAAGGCTGGGACCCCAGGTTCTGTGTGGTGTCCCCAGTGTGACTGCTGGTGTGGGTCCCGCATTTGAACCATGTGCCTGAGGTTCTGGATTCCAGTGCTGCATGTATTGGTTGGGGTCGAGCACCCTCTTGGCAAGAGCTGACGCCAAGACCTGGAGCAAGGAAACTCAGACCCCAGGAAGGAGGCCTCCAGGTTGACTCTCTCTTCTCTTCTGGCTCAAAGGGAGCCATGATTCTGGAAAACATACCCATACTTGTTTAAATCACCGTAGGCTCATCTTCCCACATTGTATTTATTTACTCTTTTTTTAAAAAACAAAGAAAGAAGGAAGGACTCCCACATTTTATACATTTATTGAACTGTTTCTTGCTTGGCCGTGACCTGGGTCTTAGGGAGACAAAAATGAAACACTGTACCTGCCTTCCAGGAGCTCATGGTAGTGGGGGAGGCCAACATACAGCTTTCCAAGTATTGTAATCCTGCTGGGATGTGGGAAGGCTGAGGAGGAAGACAGCAGCCTGGGCAGCAGTAGTGGGTGGGAGGGGCGGCGGCTGGCGGGGAGAGTGGTGAGAGGGAAGAGCCCTCTCTTCTGTTTTCTCTTCTTATCCAGCTCTGTGATCTTGATAGGATGAAGAGGAAGGAGGCCAGGGAAGGACCCAGGGAGCCTGCCTCCCTCTGGGCATGTTGGCCATAGTTAGTACATCAAGATACTTGTGACTTTGTTCTGTCTTTGCATCCGTCCTAATACATCTGCTCCACTGGAGAGATGTTGATTGGAATAGACGTTTTCTACCCTCGGGGACTGAAATTCTTTGTATTTTGTTTTTCCCCAGGAAGCCCAGAATTCGCACGTCTACTGGGTGAGTGTCTAATCTCGGGAGGAGGGGAGCTCAGGAGGCGTGCCTGTGGGGGCAGGTTGGGAGGTGGGGGCTTTACCTCCAGGGTGGGAGATGAGACCCATGCAGTGCAGGTGTTGGCCTTTGTTGCCCTTTGCTCTCTTATAATTCCCAGGGGGCCAGCCCAAGTTCTGTTCCTTCTCAGACGTGAAATCTCTCCCCTATTCCCACAGTGGCGCTACTGCATCCGCTTGGAGAACCTTGACAGTGACGTGGTTCAACTCCGGGAGCGACACTGGAGGATATTCAGTCTATCCGGCACCTTGGAGACCGTGCGAGGCCGAGGGGTGGTGGGCAGGGTGAGCATCTTTGGGCTAATAATCTTGGTTTCTGGTCCTACCCAGCAGGCCTGGGAGCTTGGTGCATGGTCTCCTCCTCTGTGGTTAGGGACAGAGGTTCAGTGTGTGAAAGCGCAGGACTGTTCAGAGTGAGAAACCTCACCGTGAGGGAGGTGTCTTATGACCCATTTCACAGGTGATGACACTGAGACTGTTACTAACTAGCCCATGGTCCTTGGAGCGCGGAGTAGCAGGCCCTGGATTTGGAGCCAAGCAAGTGACATTGGTGGCCACCCTTTTTAAGAATCTGAATTGGGAAGCCCTTGGGTGTGACACACACCCTCCACCACTCCCTGTTGTCCTTCCCCTGCCTCTTTACACACGTACATCCTCAGCTGACCCTTGAGATCTGATTTTGCAATTCCTGTGCTACCCCACCCAGTCACCTGAGAAATAAAGTCAAGAGAAGGGCCACATTCAGTAAGCAGTTATACACATTAGCAGGGACTTGGGGAGGCTGTGTGGGATAGAAAGAACAGGGCTTTGGAACTCATCTGTTTTCAGATGCTCACTGTGTTGTTTACTGCTGCATAACTTTGGTCAGGTTATTTAACCAGAATCTCAGTTTTTTAGGATGATATCTATTACCTTATGATTACTAGGACTTAAGTTAGCAGAAGTTTGCTGATCATAAGGCACTTAGTGAATGGATGCTGAAAGGGATATTTGCAGAGAAGATCTTGGGCTTGGCATCTTTGCCTGGAAACCTCAGATGGTCAGTCTGAGATAATCTTTCCCAGGGTCAGAGTAAAAGGCCCAGGTCAGTGGCGGTGCTGTGAGAGGAGGTGCTGGCCAGCTGTTAGGGTGGGAGGCGTGAGAGGGCATCCGGCCCTAACGCGGTGATGGGCAGCGCGTGGCCCTGGGGCACGGGGAGCTCGTCTGGGCTGACCTGTCTTGCCTGGACCCTCGCAGGAGCCAGTGTTGTCCAAGGAGCAGCCCGCCTTCCAGTACAGCAGCCATGTCTCCCTGCAGGCCTCCAGTGGGCACATGTGGTGAGTAGGGGGGCGTGGGAGCGGCTTAGGTCTATGGACACTGCAGGTCAGAAACGGGGAGAGCTCACAGCATGCAGTTCACTCTGGCCAGTGAGGTCCAGAGGTGGAGCTGTATCTGCCGTTCCTTGGTGTGTGAGTCTTGCCTGATTTACGACTTTCCCAGTTCTCTGTGATTTTGTGGAATGAGTGTGTGTGTGTGTGTGTGCTCAGTTATGTCTGACTTGCAATTCCATGGACTATAGCCCGACAGGCTCCTCTGTCCATGGAATTTTCCAGGCAAGAATACTGGAGCTTTCTTTCTCCAGAGGTCTTCCCCAGTCAGGGATCGAACTGTGTCTCTTGCATCTCCTGCCTTGGCAGGTGGATTCTTTACCACTGTGCCATCTGGGAAGGCCCCTGTGGGATGAAGACTTAGTTCAAAGTGGTCTGGTGACTTTTTGCTGCAGAGCTGCCGATGAGTTGGTTTTTTTCCCTTGGTGTTTCACTCCGTAACCTGAAAGCATAGTTGGGTGGCTTACGCAGGATGCATCGAAGACTGAATTCAGGACAACTTCATTTCTTCTTTTCATGAAGGGCCAGGATGGGCTCTTGGGTCCCTGGACCAGTGTTATCCTGGCATGAGCCAGGCAGAAGAGCCCAGGCCTACTTTATCCTGCCTCAATTCTGGTGCTGAGGGCACAGGGCTCTCCAGACCTCTAAACCAGTTTCTCTCTGACTCCCAGGGGCACTTTCCGCTTCGAGAGACCTGATGGTTCCCACTTTGACGTCCGGATCCCTCCCTTCTCCCTGGAAAGCAATAAAGACGAGAAGACACCGCCCTCAGGCCTTCACTGGTAGGCCAGCAGAGGCCCTGAGCACCCGGGCTCTGCCCCGAACAACAGCTCACGTCCCATGAGAGTTGCTGCAGAACTCTGTCATGGCCATAGAGGGTCTCTTTAATCGTTTGTGCCATTTGATTGCGGGGTTCTTACTTTGGCGGGTGGAGTATATCTCTTCTCCAGAAGACCCACGTGGGACTCCTCCAAGGCTGGCCTTCCCCGTAAGCCCTGCCTACGTTGTGTTCCAGTAAACCTTTCCATCAGGAACTCTGTTCAGCTGCCATAGGCGTGGAGGAGTTTCCTAGCCTGTCACACAGTTGTTTAGAATGTGAGGTTTGGTCAATAAACCAGTGCACGCTTGGCCACCCTCGCCATTTCTGCCCTCAGGGTCTCAGGCTCCCTCTTTGACCCGGCGGGGGCCCTTGGTTACTGTTCTTAACCGCCCTTCCTGGAAGCTGCCCCTTCAGCTAGGGTGTCTGTCTCCATTGTGGGGCAGGGGTTGGCTGATGTCTCCCAGGTCACTCAGCCAGTAAGCCGGGGGCTGGACTGGACTCTTGTTTTCTTTACGCTCTGCCAAGTGCAGAGCTGGAGGGTGGCAGCAAGGTCAAAGGAGTGAGGCAAGCTTGTTGGGCTTCCTGGAGCAGTGGGCCTGCCAGCTATGGGCACGAGTCTGTCAAGCCTCCAGTTCAGAAATGCAGAAACTCAGCCAAGGAGTGTTAGGTATGGGCAGTGACTAAGCCAAACTACTTTCTGAGCTTCTCTAAGATCTCCAAGAGCCAGAGATAAAAATGTGCTGCATTTTTGCCCTGATTCTTAGGATTCTTGCTTGCTCCCCGACTACCGTAGTGATTGTTAAAGAGGTCATTTTCTTGAGTTAATATTAAATTTCAGTTCCAGCCCTTTATAGTGTTGTCCTTAATCCTCCACCTTAGCTCAGCTGGCAAAGAATCTGCCTGCAATGCAGGAGACCGTGGTTTGATTCCTGGGTCGGGAAGATCTGCAGAAGGGATAGGCTACCCACTCCAATATTCTTGGACTTCCCTTGTGGCTCAGCTGGTAAAGAATCCACCTGCTATACGGGAGACCTGGGTTTGATCTCTGGGTTGGGAAGATCCCCTGGAGAAGGGAAAGGCTACCCACTCCAGTGTTCTGGCCTGGAGAATTCCATGAACTGTATAATCCGTGGGGTCATAAAAAGTCAGACACGACTGACCGACTTTCACTTGCACTAATCCTCTACCAGGGGGAGCATGGGTTTCAGGGCAACTGAGTGCAATGGGGCATAGGCCCCAGTGAGAATGTAAGGTCAGGTGGTGAACAGAAATACATGAGTTATGTCCACACACCAGTGAGTGACCAAGCTCTACTCCCTGTAAGCACGGCTCTGAACCACTGCGGTGTAACACAGTTTTATTAGAAATTAGTGTTTGTTTCCATCACCTATGCTGAGCAACAGAGAATTGTAGTTACATGATAAAGAAGTTCTTTCATGCCAGGACCTGTGCCATCCTTCAGCAGACCCTGGTCAGGTAATAGATCAGAACCTAATAATAATGGTCCGTGTGGTTAACAGCAGGCTTCCAGTTTTCTTAGAAACTGACAAGGTTTAACCTTCATCCACACTTTTTGTGTACATTCCCCAGGGCTGCTCAGAATTGAAAAATTCACACAGCCAAGAGCTGTTTTCTGAATGGGGCTGGGAAACTCAAAATTCCCCAAACCCTTATAACACAGTCTGATTTTAAAAGCTTAGATTACTTCAGTGAGTTCAATGTTAGTATTTTAAAACCAAAGAGATATTTTCAACTGGAGGAGATAAGTGCCCCAGAGTCCCAGACTATTGTGCTGTCTCAGAAAGAAAAGACTGCTCACCACAGAGACAGCTGAGGATCTCAAAGTCCCAGCAGTGAAGAGGCCCAGGGACTGGGGAGGTTAAGGGACAAGCATTAAAATACCTCAGTGGGGAGCTGGGACTTTGAGTATTAAAGGGCTTTGGGAAGGCAGCTGAGGAAACACATTGGTGGCCTCAAGCAGAAGCATTCCAGTCACTGTGGGAAACCCAGAGTTGGAATCTGGCCAAAGAAATGGATTTGTCTTCATGTTGTTACTCCAGTGAAGGCTTGAAGAACCGTTCATAGCTGACCATAAGGTGCCTCACCTGAAAGTCTTTATCCATTCAAGACTATGCCAAGCATAAGATGCTGGATTGAGTCACCTTCTCCTGCCCTAGCACAGGTCTTTGTGTCTGCTAACCCTGGCCTGGCATTTGCCTGTGGGCTCATGGGGTCAGCTATAAGCAGCCACTTAGCTACAGTCAGAGCAGTCAAGAGACATGAACTCTATCAGCAATGTCCCTTCCTGACTGAGTGGGTACTGCTGAGTGCAATGCTGGTTTGTTAGGTTGGCTGAACAGCTCCCTCCTGGTGGCATTCCTTTAGAAAAGAATTCAGATAAGCAGCTGTCCGCAGGCCAAGCCAAACAGAAGGGAATGAAAACCAAAGCCCTGAAGAGGAACTTGCACCCTTACCCAAGGGTGCGGCATTTCTAGAGCCAAGTTTACCCAACAAGAAAGAAACGAAGAACTCTTTCAAGGCTCTTAGGCTACACACATCCTCCTGTGTTCATGGACTCACCAGTGGGGAGAACCACCATCCCAAGCTAGGATGCAAAACCAACAGCACGGATGAAGGGTGGGAGGATGGACGGCCAAGCATAGCCACCTCAGTGGGGCCCCCAGGAATGCAGGGCTCTGTGCTGTCCTCGGATAGTGGGTGGGTGCTGCAGCCCATGCTCCCGGCTGCCAGCAGCTCCTGCCCACCACCCCCCTGCCCCCCAACCGCAACGGCCCTCTGGGCTTACAATAAGGACAGCTTGCTTCAGACCCGAGGGCGAGAGAATCGAAGAGAACAGTCATGTGAGACCCTAAGAGTCAGTGCATATGTGACTCTTAGGGCGCGGGGGTAAACTATCATTTCAAATAGGGGTGGTGTTAGGACCAGAGGTCCTAACTTACACATCCTCACCATGTCAGTACTCCCTGGTTTGGCTGCTTGGCCACTGTGGCAAAGCTAGAGCTGGTCAGTTTGTTTATTGCTTCTTTCCCTTCCCTTAGATTGACTCTACAGGGAAAAGGGGATTCGATCAGAAGATGACATGGGTCAGGGCAGATTACAAATCTCCTGAATAAGTACAAAGTGCTTTAAAGAAATAGATCCCAAAGGTATCAAAAGGGCCAAGGGTTCTGCTTTACCGAGGATCTTGGAACCCTGGAGGGGTAGCAGAAATACCCAGTCCCCTCATTATTCAACTAAAACTAAAAACTAGTTATTTCCTAGATTATTTGTTAAAAACTTAACTCATCAAGCCTGTGCTTAGGAAAAAAGGAGCCCCACCTCCTGTAAGAAACTGGGCCTCCACAGCACCAGAAACCACCTTCCTCAGAGAGTGACCCGTTCCCCATGGGCCTCCCCTGAGGCCTAAAGTAGCCTTCGGCAGAGCAAAGGCGCGCTCAGCCAAGGCAGAGGGGAATGCTCCTCGTGGGAGGTGGACGGGTCAGTCCATTCAGCCCAGGGGCAGAAAGGGAGAGGCTGAGCAAGGGGGCCAGTCCTCCTCAAGTGCTTAGGAAGCCGGGCAGAGAAACACGAGCCCTCCCCTGCTCAGGCCCTCTGACCTCCGGGGCAGGTCCTCTCATGCCTCTGGGTGCTGGAGCAGAGACCCAGCCGGCAGCAGAGTGGGGTGGCCGAGGGGGCAGGGTTCCACAAGAGGGGCGATGGGGCGTCCCATGCCCTGACTCCAGGAGGGTCTCGTCAGTCGCGATGGGAGGACTGGTGGCCAAGCTGCCGGTCATCGTAAGTGCTGTAGCGCTTGACGTGGATGCGGCGAACACGGTCCCGCAGTTCCAGGGTTTCCTCATCTTCACTGGGGGAAGCCTGGCTGCGGCTCCGGCTTGTGGCCTCCAAGAGGGAGTTGTCAGGGACTCGGGGGGTCTCATAGAGTAAGACGTTGAGTGTCTCCTCATAGATTCGGGCCTCTGGGAATTCCACCTGGGATGAAAGAACAGCATGGGGTTTCATCCCAAAGAGGGCACAGCATGTCAGGGCCCTTGGCCCTGCTAACTCCATGAGGCCTCCAGAACTCTCAAGAGACATGACTTTCTGTTTTGCAAGGGCTGGCAGAGGTCTTCGCTGAAGGAGGCATGAGGAGATGTATTCTATGGACATAAAGATGCTGAAGACTAGTACCTTGCCCCACTCAATCCCAGACCAGTGGACTAGTATGTGGAGAGGTCAGGTACAAACACAGCTCCCCCACTTACTAGCTGTGGGGTCTCAGACTTAACTTTGTGGTGCCTAAGTTTCCAAATGTTAACACTGACCTCAGAGACTGTTGTGAATGTTATATGAAGATTGTAAAGTGTTGAGCAGAGAGCCAGGCACACAGAAAACAAAAAAGTTACTTGCTTTGAGCCCTTCACATGCACACAGCTCTCCCCCCAGACAAGCCGCCATTCCACCCTAGCAAACTCTGTCGTCTCCTAAACACACTGGGGGGCAGCTATTCTCCCGGGAGGCACCATCTGCTGGCAGCCTGGGGAGAGTTAGCTGAGTTTGTTGTGCGTATGTGCTCAGGCATGTCCAGTTCTTTGTGACCCCATGGACTGTAGCCCACCAGGCTCCTGTGTCCATGGGATTCTCTAGGCCAGAATACTGGAGTGAGTTGCCATTTCCTCCTCTAGGAGATCTTCCCAACCCAGGGATTGGACTTGTATCTTTTGTGTCTCCTGCATTGCCACTGGTGCCATCTGGGAAGCCCCAAGATCTTTACATATTTATATATATACACACACTGTATATATATAAATATGTAAAGATCTTGGGGCTTCCCAGATGTATATATGTATATATATGGTATATATATATAGAATATATATGTGTATATATATATATATAGAATATATGTGTATATATATATAGAATATACATATGTGTGTATATATAGAATATACATGTGTGTGTGTGTATATATATAGAATTAAATTTTCCAGCAGCCCTAGTATCTGTTTTACAGGTTATAGAAATTGAATTTGTTATCTCCTATCAAATCCCTTCTCGTGCCTGGCAGTGTGTTGTCACTGCAGAGGCAAAGCTGACTGACCAGGAATGCCAAACCAGCAAGCGCTAGAGGTCTGAACAGCTATTTCTACTGACCTGCACTGCTTCTCCTCAGAGCTGTCTCATTTTCATAACAGTTCTGTTAAATTCATACTTTCATTCTCAGATCTTCAAATGAGGAAACTGAGGCCCAGATGGTTTAAATGTCTTATCCAAAGTCAGAAAACTGACTTTGGGACCAGAATTCAGATATGAATTGGGCCAACTTCAATTACCCCCACTGGTCAACAGCCCTGCCTCTCAGTTTACCAGAGCAGAATTCTCTGCCATTCTCTAAACTCCCTGCATTGGCTTTTGTCCTTGACCACCACCACTGCGGTGAGTGTGGGAAACAGCAAAATGTACGCCCGGCGGTGAAAGGTTCAGCCGCACAGAGGCAGGCGGAAGCCCTGTACCTTGGTCTGCTTCTTCTCGGTGGTGTACACGATGGAGGTGCAGCACACCTCTGCCAGCTTCCGACCCTGCCCGTAGAAGGACCAGCAGCAGATCTCATCTCCGATGACGTCCTTGATGAAGAGCACACGGCCGTTGAAGCGCAGGGAGAGCTTGTCGAACAGCTCGATGTTTTTCAGCAGGTGGTCATCGGAGTTGCTGAAAAACCGGTGAGAGCCCACCGGCCTGGGAGTGAGGTCCCAGCACAGGGGTGGTGCAGGCTGGGCGGGCTCTCCCCTCCCCTGCCCTCCCCTCCCCTGTCATGCTCACAAAATGAGGGGAAGTCAGGACGCTAGAGGGACGGTGAGAAAGGGTCATGGGGTCCCCTGTGAATCTGGGGGCCTCTGAGGGGAAGGAGGCGAGTTGGACTTCAGTTACAACAGAGAGAGCTGAGGGAGAGCTTCTTCTCAGCAGGCCCAGAAGGAAGGAGGCTGACTGCCGGCTCCTCCTGTTAAGACGGCAGTCAGCCTCCCCTTGCTGCAGGGGTGACCCTGGCAATATGTCTGCCACAGAGCATCACTGAGGGCCTGCAGCCTCCTGCCTGTACCTAGCTGTGGCCTGTTGAGAGGACATGGGGGGACGAGGGGGCCACTGGCCCAGATGCAAAGAACAAAGGCTGTCTCAGGAGGAGTTCCAGCTGCTTGGCTTCCCAGCCCTGTCAGAGAATGTGGGGAAAACCCCTGGCCCGCTGCCTGACATGACACATGTTCAGTTACATGTTCGTGTTCAGTCTCGTCTCCATCCCGGGCAGGGCCCTGCAGTGAGTTCCAAATGCCTCGGCTCTGATTCCCCTTCTGCTCTGTTCTCCTCCCAAGACCCAGACTCATGCCAGCTGTGCCAGGCGTGCAGGTGGCTTCCCTCGAGTCTGCTGCCCAGGTTGTCCGCTCAGCCCTTGCAGCTGCGCCTTCAGCTCGTCCCTGGGCACCGTTCCCGCCCCCACCGGGGCCCCCCTACCTGGTGTAGGAGTATTTGTTGTTGCTCCTGTTGTATAGCAGCTTCACAACGGGCTGTGAGGGGGGAGAGCGTGAGGGCCGGGGACCTGGCACCCCGAGCCTCCCGCCCCTGGCGACCCCTCGGAGGGCCCAGTACCTTGGTGGAGGATTCGATGAGCCTTTCCTCTTCCTTCAGGGAGGTGATGATGGGGATGTTGCACACAGGCTGGTAGGAGTCCTTCTTGTCCTGGGTGACACACAGCAAAGAATCTTTTTTTCCCCAGATCTTCTGTTTGCCAGGCTTTTCCCAGGAGCTGTCAGAGACTCTCTGCCATGGCCACCCCCTGCTTGTTGAGGCATCGGATAGAGACAGGAGGCCCCTGGCAGGAGAAACTGCCAACTGGCAAGCAGACTCCCACTTCCAGAAACCTAAACTCCAGATACCTAGGCATATAAACTAGAAGCAGGGTCTAGTCACTCCACCTGAGTCCATCACCTTATAAACTGACTGGCTGCCAGCTTGCTGGGGCTTCCCTTGTGGCTCAGCTGGTAAAGAATCCGCCTGCAGTGTGGGAGACCTGGGTTTGATCTCTGAGTTGGGAAGATCCCCTGGAGAAAGGAAAGGCTTCCGACTCCAGTATTCTGACCTGGAGAATGCCATGGATTGTATAGTCCACGGGGTCGCGAAGGGCTGGACACGACTGAGCGACTCTCACTCACTTTGCCAGCTTGCTTGGCCTGGGTAACATGGTGTGTCTAACCAGGTTTGGACTCATCTCATACGTGCTAAGTGGCCTTCCAGGAACTGCACCCTACGTCCCTGAAGGAGGGGGCCAGCCCCGACCTCCTCAGCCCGCCCTGCCCCTGCCTGCGCACCTGCAGGGCAGACTGGCACATGGTCACCAGCCCCTGAATGAGGTAATATTTCGCTTCAGCCATCAATTCCTTGATCTCTTGCCGGTTTTGAGGGAGGATGATTGTGTCGTCTCGGAGGTAATTCAGAATGGTGCCAAAGTGCTTTCCGCATCGGTCTATGAGGATCCAGCCTAGGGATTCAGACAGGCCCCCGAGGGTTACTGTTTGTCTCCAGGTACCTCGGGGCAGACAGCAGGCAAAAACCACCTGATGAGCCTGGTGGCAGGTGACGGGAGCACAGAGCCCACAGCACGGGGGTGACAGGAGTGGGCACTGACCCTCCGGCTCTGGGGTCCATGGCTGCTCTTCACCCCTCCGCCCTGAAGCCAAGACGACACAGGCCCTCCAGGCGCACCTCCTGGCAACACAGAAACCACCCAGCCCTGCCTGCTTTCTGCCAACTGCTCAGGCACTCTGGTGATGGTTCTTATGAGAATCTAGTCCTGTGTGAACATTTAAAAAATACAGCTCTTCTCCCTGAAAAATATGTACACACACAACATTCCATGTGTACAGTTTCAGAGAATTCTGAAGCTGCATTAAGAACTCCAGGTGAAGGAGTCCTGTACTAGAAGAAAAGTGAATCTAGATTCCAGATCTGCCAGGCTTAGGCGGTGCTCTGAAGTCACTTCCCCCTCCTACCCCCACCACCCTCCGCCCAGCAAGCCCCCACGCCTCACCTTCCTTGTCGGTCAGCACCTCCATGCGCCCACTGAACATGGCCTTCAGCATGGTGTCGTGCCGGGTAAGTGCCCGCACGGTGGTGTAGTACAGCGAGCCGCCCACATTGAGCTGGACGTATTTGTTGCCCAGGCCTCCTCCCTTGAAGCCGCTGAGCTTGGGCTTGGCCCCCGAGGCTGGGCACAGACAGGTATCCCCTGACATCTCCCGCTGCAAGTAGATCACCACACGGCAGGAGGTTGGCTTGGAAGGCTCCGCCGTGGTGGAAGGGTCACGAGTGAGTGGCCAGTGGAGGCCAGAGCCTCATACTCTCAGCGCTGTGAGCAGAACACGGGAGAGAAGATAGGAGTCAGCAGAGGAGAGCCTGCAGCTGGGAGGGGACAGGAAGACAAACACTGACCAGCCAGTCATTCTCTCCTTCTGAGCCCAAGACTCCCTGACAGAAGCTGAGCCTTAGGCAACGACAAAAAAGACATTGCTCCTGCTCCTCATGGTACCAGTTACCAGGTCTGGGAGCACAGTCTCCCGGAACCCAGTGCTACTCACCTCATCAGTCTCCCTGAGACTCAGCTCTGGGTGACAGAGGTCACGCAAACTCTTGGAGCTAATCAGAGACAGCTCCAGAAACAGACTAGGCAGAGCAGAAGTCCTCACCCTGGGGATCCACCAGTTAGACTCCAGTTGTTTTCCTCTCAAGGTTCCCAGGATCCAAGATTTCCAGCCAAACCTACTGGGAACTCAGCCAGCCTAGGAGTTTCCCAGGAGTCCGAGGGACAGGATGCACTTCCTTTCTAATGAGTCCAGGCTCGGGGCACCCTGCACCAGTGCTTCCTTTGAGCACCACCCAGAGTCTGGCTTCAGGAAGGCAAGTAACAGCAACTTCAGGAGAACACAGATTGAGCCAGGCTGGAGGGAGCTGGCCAGTGTTCCTGGCAGAGGTTATCCTGGTTCCCGCTGAGGTTTCCTGACCTTCCTCTTTTTTGGCATCAGCCCTGCCCTGAGTTCCTGAAATTGTCACCATTTTTCAGGCTAGAACAACTACAGGATGGCTATTTTTGCTGCTTTTTTCCTGAGAGGGGACCCAGCCCTATCTCCTCCTCTCTTCCCGCCCAACAAGAATGGGGAAAAAGAACCAAATGATCAGTCTAAGAATAATTAGGTGATTTGGAAACTGAAACACTGACTGGAGTTACAGGACGGAGAAGCAAGGAAAGCAGAGGAAGGCAAAGCCAGGCCACCCCTTGTGATCTAGATTCTATATGTTTTGGCTGTCTAAAGAATTGGTAGAATTCATTCACTGAGAGAAAACAAAAAGCCAACATTCTTTGCATGTTTACTCTGTTCCAGGTACTATTCAAGGCATATATATCATCAGCTCATTTAACTCATTTGTCAATAAAACGATATTGAGTGCCTACCAAGTTAAGCAGGAGGAAGAGATGAAAAGACTGTCCTTGACTTCAGGAATTCAAAGAAGTGTGAATATTCTTGTTCATTAACAAGAATAAAAATAAGAGTATTTATCGTGTCCCTGCTTTGTGCCAGGTGCTGGGGATACAGATGAGAACAAAAGAGTCAGTCCTGTGGAGCTTACCTCATAGTGGGAAGACACATACAACAAGAAAATGAAAAAATAAGCAGGCAATTTCAGAAGTGAAAAATGTACTTAATAAAACAAAGCGAGTGACTAGGAAGAGGAACTCATTTAGATGGGAAGCCAGGGTAAGATTCTTTGGGAAGGTGACATTCCAGCTAAGCTCTTAAGAGCATTCCAGACAGATGGAAGAGTAGGTGCAAAGTTCCTCGGTCAAACACAAGTTTTAGAAGCAGAAATAAGGCCAAGGTGGCTGGTGCAAAGAAAGACGGGGGAAGATGGCTGGATGCGAAGTCAGGGAAGGCAGGGGTGGATCATAATGAAGAGTTTGGATTTTATATTAATTGCAATGAAGATTGATTGTAGGGTTTAGAGCAGGGAAGGGATATGATCTAAGATCACCCTGGCTACTGTGTAGAGAGTGGACTCTCTGAATGCAAGAGAGCAAGTGTGAAGACCAGAAGTCTAGGCAAGAGACAATGAAGGCTTAGACTACAGTGCTGGTAATGGGAGTCAGAAAAAAGTGAAATGACCTCATTTCTTTATCACAGCATGCTGAAGTTTACATCATTATCTCTTCTAAGTGTAACCCAGAAGTGCACTGGTTTTGCCACATTTACTACTCCACTCTCCAAACAGTGCTTAACACAATGCCACGCACATTTGTAAGTATTTGTCAATTTGTTAGACTGAAATTGTCCCCAAAAGATTTAAGTAGGTTCCCAGTGGCACCAGTGGTAAAGAACCTGTCTGCAAACACAGGAGATGCAGGTTCAATCCCTGGATCAGGATCATCCTCTGGAGAAGGAACTCAACCACTGGAGCAACTCGCTCCAGTATTCTTCCCCGGGGAAATCCCATGGACAGAGGCGTCTGGGGGGCTACAGTCCATGCAGCTGCAAAGAGTTGGACATGACTGAGTGACTGAGCATTCATCCTGGGAAGAATGTCCAAGGAAGGGCCAGGACAGGTGCTGTATGAAATACTGAACGCCTTTGGTGGTTTGTCTAGTATGGATGAGATGAGTGCCCCGCCTCAGCAGACTGCCCAATCAGTAAGTAAGCTTGAATGGTATGAGATTACTTTACCAAACTCTGCCCACCCGGAAGGAATAAATCCACCCCTTAACAGGTTTTAACAAGTTCTCTATGCATTTTGTATCTAGCCCCAGTTTCACCAAGATCAAAGAAAAGGAGCTCACCAAAGGTTAGGCGGCTGCCAACAAAGGAAGACAAATCCAAACTAATCTATTCTTTTCCAACAAAGCAATTGCTTTGAGCCCCTGGATGACGTCAGCTGAGATTCCAGTTGCTCAGATTCCGCCCAGGCCAATAGGTTCCAGGAATCCTGTGGCAGGTGACGTCCCAGAAGGTAATCCCAGTGAAAATGAAGTTTCCACTGAGAGCCTCAGAGCGCTTCCTTCCGGACTTTGTGAGTGAGTATTTGGGGATGCTAGGGGCCTATCTGTGTCATACTAGGCAAAGCGGATGGGAACCTAAGCGGAATAAAGGGCAAACAATCACGGCGGTGTTAGAAGGTGGGGTCCTAAGGAAAGAAGGTCCCAGAAATTCGTCACACCAGGGATAGCGAGGGGAGGAGCCGATCTTGGTCAGAGAGGGCGGATCTAGCAGAAAATCCAAGGTGTAATTCTATTGCTACATCCAAAGGGTGTGGGGAAATTTATCGAGACCCAACCTCTCCATGCCAGTGTAGTCTTTCCCAACTCGTATCCCTCCTCACTATTGAGAAACAGAGACCGGTTCTGACACCCATCCCCAGGGGAGGATTTGAGCTCTCCACCTCCCTTCGCCGTCCCACGCCTTTTCCCCAAGACCGCGTGGGGCTCTCTTTGCTCAGCTCAGGGCCCAACCATCCCTTCCCCTAGGGCATGGGGCGGCTCGGCTCTCACCCTCTCTGGTGGCGCCTCTCCTCTCAGCTGGACTGCAAGTCAACACCGTGCCGCCCCCGAACTGTGGCCGCTCGAGCTCCAGCAATCCCGGGCCGAAACTCAGATCCTCCACCAGAGGACTCCGCCCCAAGCCGGCGGGAGCCTGAGACTAGAAGGCGGGGCAGGTCCAGTAACCCAATCAGGGCGGAGGGAGGGGCCCCTGGAGTATTTTGCGCTGAGCGCATAGCTGCTTCCGGCAGCCTTTCCGGCGCAAAGGCTCTGGGTCTCGTAGGCAGTTATCACTCCTCTCAGGCCTCTGTTTCCCAGCAGGCCCTGCGGGCTCTGTTGATCTAAGTGCTTCCGGCGTCGGGATGTGACGTTGGAGGTAAACAGGTTTTGTCGCCGTGGCAGCGGCTGAGTCTGCGGGGCGGGTGTCGGCTCTAGCCGACTGGAGAGAGGCGCTGACTGCCGACGTTAGCCTGGGTCGCCGGCGCTGTCGCTGCTGGGTGAACAGGTAGGCCGTGACTCCGGGTTGGCGGGCTTGGGGCAGGCCGGGGGTGAGATGAGCCTAACAGGCTCGCGTCCGGAGGAAAAGCAATCCCGGGGCGAAAGAAACATGGGAATTCCGCCAGGCTCTGGGAACGGTTTTACCCCCGGCTAGGGCCTGGAGCTTTACGCGTTGCTGCTCGCAATTATCTTAGGAAACTGCGGCTCAGATTAAGTTCAAGCAGTTTACATAGTGAAGACGCGAGCTCCACACCCAGGTCCTCCTAATTTTCCCACACCTCACGGGTGGAGCCTGCTCGGAGCGTCCAGCGTGGGTCAGGGGAGAACCCGGGGGTGGGTTTGGAGGAGAGCGCGTCACCACTCTCATCTTCCTGGAGCTCAGTCCGGCTCTTGTTCCCGGTGTTCCTCAGATGTGGTGGGAGTTGGAAGAGAATCCGGTAGTCGGCTTTGAACCCTCTCCGCTTCTTCTCTGGTCCGACCCTTCTCATTCAATTATCCCTTCCAGCCGTGCAGCTGGCTCAGGCCAGGTACGCGGGAATCTTGCCTGACTCTCTTTCACTCCTCCCCAAAACCCCTGCGTCAGTCATCCTTTACAAAGTCCTATTAACTCGACTTAACAAAACATCTCAAATCGGAACACTTTTCTTCCGCTCCAAGCCTTGGTTACTGAAATAGCCTGCTCTGATTTCACAGTCATTCATACCACACACATTTGCTGAGTGCCAGTTTCTGTGCAGGCATCATGTTAGATGCTAGGGTAACAGTGATGAACAAGATAGTTGTAGTGCCCTTCTCTTATTTCCTCCAACCCATTCTCCATCCTGGGTCAGAGTGATCTCTCTAAAGGGCATGTCTGATTATGCCCCTCTGCTGAGAATCCACTGGCTGCCCATTAAACGCTTATGAGAAAATCCAGGCTCATTACTGCAGCTTTCAGAGCCCTCCACCATCCAGCCGTAGCCTTCCCATTTCACCACATCCTGTTTCTCTCTCTCTCTTGCCCAGTCTTTCAACCACACTAGCCTCTTGGCTCTTGTTACAGGTTCCATTTCTCATAGCCTCAGCATCTTCACATACGCTTTTCCTTCTGCCCAGAATACCTCCTCCTCCCTTCACTTGACAAACTTCTGGACAGCCTTTACTTCTCAGCGTGTCACTTTTTCAGAAGAGTTTTGTTTACAATTTTTGGGGGTAATTTTGTGTCCACATGAATTTTATCCTCCTGCTACAGCTTCATGTAGCACCGTATGCTTTTCCTCATAATATTATCACAATTTGTGATTATTTGTTTACTGTCTGTCGAGAGGTCGGGAACTTAAAGCATTGAAGCATTTTGTTCACTACACTATTCCCGGGACAGGGACTCAGTAGATGTTTGTGAATAAATGGAAGCTCTCTGGGAAGGGAGTGCAGATTGAAGCAGATTTCTGTGCCCTCTGGTTATTTGAATCAGTTTGTCTGGTTAGTTACTTGTGTGTGTGCTCAGTCGTTTATGTCTCTTTTGTGACCCCATGGACTGTAGCCCATCAGGCTACTCTGTCCATGGAATTTTCTAGGCAAGAATACTGGAGTGGGTTGCCATTTCCTCCTCGAGGGGATCTTCTTGACCCAGGGATTGAACCTGTGTCTCTTGTGTCTCCTGCATCGGCAGGTCGATTCTTTACCACTCACCTGGTAGGTGCTAAATGCTTAGACAAGCGGTTCCTTTTAGGCACCAGGGACCAGATTCATGGAAGACAGTTTTTCCACGGTCGGGGGGCAGAGGCAGGGAGGGGGTGATGATTTTGGGATGACTCAAGTGCATTCTCCACCTCATATCATCAGGCATTAGATCCTGGAGGTTGGGGGCCCCTGACTTAGACTATATGTGTAAATAGAACAAATAGGAAGACATCTTTTTAAAAAGCCCAATTACAAGGAAACTCTGGATGATTAAAGTATTTCAAAAGGAAGGTGCTAGCTGACTTACTTGAATGGACTGCAGTGAGACCAAAGGCCCTGGGCCAGTCATACACAGCTAGACATGCGTTAGTTGGCCCACACAATCTTGGATGTGGGTTTTGGGTGGTTTTTTTTTTCTTACTTAAACTTTTTGATTAAAGGAGATACTCTTCTTTAAAAGTCAGATTGTGTATGTAAATCTGGATTTCGGGTCCTCTTGAAAAAATCAGTTCTGGCAACAATGGAACTTAATTCTTTTTAACCATTGCTCTTTCTGTGGTATACCTACCCTGGCAGGTTGCTCCCAGAATCACCCCATTCGGAACAGAACTTCTCTAATGTAATGGGAAGGGAAACAAGGGAGGCTGGGGGAGGTGGGAGGGAAGGACCAGGTTGTGGTAGCCTTCAGAACACCGGGGGTTTCCAAGTTGGTGTAGCAGCCAATGACTAGACCTAAGTAGCATTGCCTCCCTTTTTGACAGGGCATGTGCTCTCTTATTTTTATTTTGTATGTGTGTTTAAGCCAGAAGGAGGGTGAATTTTCAGTGTTTCCTTCCCAGAATTGAGGCATCCTTTGGACCAGGAATGTGAGGTGGCCTGGGAAGGGAGAAGATCTCTCTGCTGGTTCTCGTCTACAGAAAAAAGCCAAACTCCTTAGCTTGGCCCACAGGGTGTTTCTGATCTGGCACCACCTGGCTTTCCCTCTCCATCCTGTCCTTTCAACTTCTAGTCAGGAATAGGCCCTTCCAATGGCTTTGTGCTCCTGTCCAGGCTGTTTTCTCTGCTTGGAATGCCTTGCCCTGGCCTGCTTACTTGGCATGTTCTCGTTAATGTTTCACTCTTTTTTGTGTTTTCTTCTGGAAAGAGACTGACTCAACTTTGGGTCCCAGTTGAGGCAGGTGTGCCTGTGGCATGCATTATGGTTAATATTCTTACCCCTGGCTTCTTGTGTTTATTTTTTCCTGTGTTTATTTTTAACCCTAATTTTTAATTCATTCAGATTTTCTCTTTTACTTATCTTTCATGTTGTTCCAGCTCTGTATTTGAAAAGCTCTTGTATGTCCTTTTGGGTACAAAACTGGGGATAAATAAATATGCTATGGCTCCCAGCACCCTCACCCCAAGTTAACTGTTCTCTTTTCCTCCAGCTCTTTAGTGACACTTCTGTAAGCGCACTTAACAGTGTGATTTTTCAGTGTACGTGTCTGTCTTCCTCCAGCTACACTCTGCTCCTCCAGGGCGGGCACCATGTTGCACGCATCTTTATCCCCAGCATCTAGCAGTGCTGGCATGTAGTTGGCACTCCAGGAATGTATGTTGAATGAACGATGCCTGTGACAAGCAACTGGACTTTATTCTTTCCTGACCCTTGCTCCTATGACACACCTCTCCCTGGCTGACCCTGTCAGAACCTCTCTTCTCTGGGGAGGAAGCTGGAAGGCAAACAGGTGAGGCTCAGAGAGGCGGAGGCAGAGGGAAGGGGGAGCCTTTGGAACATCTGGGCTTTTGGCCTTGGTGTCCGGGGCCAGGAGTGGGGCTGGGTTGGAAGCTGGCTTCTCTTTGAGGGGCTGGGAAGTGATCGGGGGCTGGGGCTGCTTTCTTTACAGCCATGGCCAAGGACATCCTGGCTGAAGCCGGGCTGCACTTTGATGAGCTGAACAAGCTGCGGGTGTTGGACCCGGAGGTTACCCAGCAGACCATAGAGCTCAAGGAAGAATGCAAGGCCTTTGTGGACAGTGAGTCTCGCCTTGGGGGACATGGTCCACTCAGCCTTGTGTCTCGCCCCCACCCCCTGACTGCAGCTCTGGGCCCTGCCCAAGCGGAGCTGCTGGCTCCCAGGAGGTTGAACCTGGCCCTCCTGAATTCCCATGTGCCACCCACCTTGTCTGCGTGCCCTCCTATGCTCTTGGGTAGGCCCAGGGCACCAATCAAACACAGCAGTGGAAACAGGAGGGTGTTTGTTTAGGTAGGCCGTCCCAGGAACCTCCAACTTCAGAACCATGACTTGGGGGTGGGAAACAGTTAGGATTTGATTTCTTGGGAGAAATAGTGTTCTCAGTGGCAGACTTGCCATTGTTTGGAGTGAGAGTTGATCGCCTGGAGTTTGGAGAGGCAGTTCAAAAGACTCAATGAAGTCATTTTTTTTTTTTAAAGCTAGTGATAGCCAGGATGCTTCCTGTCTCAGCAGCCAAACAAGCCCGGTAGCAGCAAACATAGAGATGTAGCCTGTATCTGAACCTTCTGGGGAGTCTGTAGGTTCTGGAGAGAGCTTGACTGGTGGAAGGTAGTGGCTTCTCTCACCAGTCTTGTGAACGCTGTGTGCATGTGTTCAGGCCCTCTGGGTCTTGGTTTACTCCTCAGTAACACGGGTTCCACTATACCCAGGGACATGGGAAAGAACAAATTAGAGATTAACTCCTTAAATGTTTTGAGCTTTTTATTAGCCCTGGTCACAGGTAGAAAGCCCCCACTCCCCAGCAGCTCAAATCTAGTGTCTTACCCATGGCTGTCCAGAGGCAGCGTTCGTATCCTGGGGTGGTCCTTTCGTGAGGTCAGCCCTTTGTGCTTCCTGTCATTCCTAGGACAGCAGGATGCAGTCCATCCCCCCAAGGTGCGCCCATCAGGAGCCCCACAGCCCGAGCTACAGCTTTTGGCTGCTTCAGTGGGGACTCAAGATCCAAATACACTCCAACCCAGCTCTGGGCTCATGGCCACCCTTCTCTAGGTTCAGACCAAGGCTGTCAGACACCAAATGGCTTTTCACACAAATTAGAAGAGGCGGTTAGCCCTGCCCTCTCGCCACAAGGAAATGGTGAGGGAGAGTGGTGATGCTGAAAAGTAAAATATTTGTTTTTGTTGTTCTTTCCACAAAAGAAATTGGCCAGTTTCAGAAAATAGTTGGTGGCTTAATTGAGCTTGTTGACCAACTTGCAAAGGAAGCAGAGAATGAGAAGATGAAGGTAAGATCAGCATGTATTTTTTAACTTCGGCCTGGTTCACTAGCCTCTCATCCTTCTGCCCCCCCGCCCTTTTTTTTAATCTGGTTCTTAAAAAGGTTATTTATTTCTGGCTGTGCCGGGTCTTCGCTGCTGCCATGTGGGCTTCCTCTCGTGGGGAGCCAGGCTGTGCTTTGTTGTCGTGCGTGGCTCCTCACTGCGGTGGCTCCTCACTGCAGGGCACAGGCTCTCGGGTGCACAGGCTGCGGCAGTAGTTGCAGCCTTAGTTGCCCTGTTGCCTGTGGGATCTTCTCAGAGCAGGAATTGAACCCATGTCCCTGCATTGGCAGGCAGATTCTTAACCACTGGACAGTCAGGGAAGTCCCCACTTTTTTTTTGGTGGGGAGGGCTAGGTGATGGGGAGTTCTTTAATTAAAATAAGATTTTAAATAAGAATGCCTGTGCAAATATTGAATGATTATGTTGTATACCTGGAACTAATATATGTCAGTTATACTGCAATTTACAAATAAGTAATTCCTGGTCCAGTTAATCCACTATTGAACTCTTACATGCCAGTATACTGTTTCCTTTAATCTTCACATCATCACTGAGATATGATGAATATGATAGGTGGTTTACCCTCACTTTATAAATGAATGCATGCAGAGTACACATGACTTGGCAAAGGACACAAGGCTAAATGGTGCACCAGATGGGCCACTGTGTGCCAGGCCCTAGATTCTAGGTCTGCAGATGCTAAGCTGCAGCCGTTCTCACCAGGCACTTTGGGATCAGGAGATTAAGCTTCCTTTTGACTTACTCCTAAAACTCTGAGGCTCGACCTTCCTTGCTCCCCTCCATTCCACCCCCACAGAGCCCCCATGTCCCTTCCCCAGTTGAGGACTTTAATGCCATGACCTTCTTTGGCAATGTTTTTCTAGGCCATTGGTGCTCGGAACTTGCTCAAATCTATAGCAAAACAGAGAGAAGCCCAACAGCAGCAACTCCAGGCACTAATAGCAGAAAAGAAAATGCAGCTTGAAAGGTAAGTTTTGTTGTAAAGCAAGTTCTTTACTCAACTGCAATTTTGTTTTTCCTCTTGAATGGTCATCTTTTACCCTTGCTCTTCATCATTGTTCTCCCAGGAATAGTGTCTTATCATTCCTGGTTTGAAGATTTTAAAAATAAAATTAATTTGATGGGAAGAAAATTTGTTAGTGTCAGACAACCTCTAGTAGTGTGAGGGCACACACACTTGTGTCTGGAGTTGGCTGGCTCTCTGCAAGGAAGCTTCTCAGGGCTGGAGACTTCTCAGGGGTGGCCCTAGGTAGAGCTTTGCCTCATTTTTCTCTCTCTCTTGCCCTCACTAACTTCATTTTGAACTCATACCATTTCTTGGAATCATCTAAATCACTTCTATTCTTCTCTGGAAGAATTAAGTTCCTGGTGTATTTCATCCATTTTGAGGGCTTCTAACAATTTTGTTTTTCAGGTATCGGGTTGAATATGAAGCTTTGTGTAAAGTAGAAGCAGAACAAAATGAGTTTATTGACCAATTTATTTTTCAGAAATGAACTGAAAATTTCATTTTCTAGCAGGAGGGCAAAAAAAGGAAAAAAACCCCACAACCCCCAAACCAAAACCACCTCTGCACCATTCCATGACCTGACCAGTGACCCAGGGGTGTCATGTGAGAAGCTGTGTGAGGAACTGCAGCATCTCTGCACGCAATAACAAACCTGGGGGAGTTTGTTTCGGATGTCAGTGCATGTCTGCAGGCGAACATCCAGGGGCCATCGTGGCCCAGGTTCTCACCTCTTGCATTCTCAGTCTGAACTGAGCAGCCTGTCAACTTTTTTTTTGTAAATTCACAAAGCTTTGGAAGGAAAAGCAATAAATTATTATTTTCAAATGGCTTGATCTGCCTCTCTTCGGTGCCCCTGAAGTGTACATTTATTAACCCATTGTAAGAACCCTGGACTCTCCAGCCCTTAGTCCACAAACCAAACCAGGCAGTGGTCAGCAGCTACCTTTATTTTGACCAGACACACAAGTCAGATGATATTCCCCAAAGTCAGACCATTAGGGCTTGTAAGCAAAATAGGCAAAAAGGGGGAACTAACCAGGACTAGCATCTATCATTTTTCATGTGCGCTGACAAGTCTTTTTGAGTCGGCCTCGAGTATGAACTTAAAGCAAGCAGGATACCAAATAAAGAGAACTTATATGCACACATTGGACCCGTCATGGCCAGCCCCCCACCCCTACCCCAACTGGGTACAGGACAAAGAATTATGAAACTGTTTGGTAGGATGAAGTTATCCAGTAGGAAGCATTCCTCCAGCTCAGGCTTGAGACACCAGACCTCAGAGTAAAGGAACTCATGTGGTCTGTAAAAACTTAACGGAAGACTAAGGTTTAGAAAGAGACTAAAAAAGGAGACTTTAACAATTCTCTTCTCCTGGGATGACCTATTTTAGGACAGAAACAATATACCTTCCAGTCTGACCCATTTCCAACTGAAAGTCATGCCAAGGTTGAATCTTAAAGGAAAACTAAATTTATAACCTCTTACAGAATATTTCACCCCTACTTATGGGTAGGGGCAAGGAAACAATTTTTAATGAATATTAGGTATAATTTCAAACTGAATTTTGCTCATCAGTGATATTCTGTAGAGACTCATGAGTCATAGTTTTAGTCACATGTATCCTGTGAGTCAAATGACTCAGGTACACGCCAAGCAGGCCATGTTTCTTGGAAGTTTATCTCATTTCTGGTCTGGTTCTGCTTTTGGTAATCCTGCAGTGGCACCTGGGGGCACGCTGAGGAGACCTCTGGCACCACTCTGCTGGGCGGTCACCCAGCCGCACCCCTCTGCCCGTCCTCGGGTGACCAGTCTGTTTGTGTCAAAGCCCTTGAAGGTGAGGTCTGCTGTGCCTCCTGCCAGGGTCTTGCTCATGTGTGTTGCTGCTGCTGTGGTTCAGGCACTACTGAAAACATGGGTCTGAGCGCTGTTCCCGGTACTGGGTCCAATAGGAAACTGCCCAGCGGTCACCTCTCCCCTGGACCGAGGGGCATTTTTCTCATTTTTTCTTTCTTTTCTCCTCAGACTTGTAGTAGGGGTTCCGCACCATGAAAAGCAGAAGTATAAGAGGGAGGAGAAAGTAGGGGATATAGACAGATATCAGGAATAGTCGTTCCTGCAAAGTCTTAGGTCCTTGTCCTCTGAAATGACTGGCTTTGGAGAAATCGTCGAGTAGCAACGTGGAGAGGATGGGAATCAGAGTTGTCATGGTGTGAACCGAGTAGATGATGGCAGGGGTGCGGATCCACTTGCAGCCTCCTGAGGTCAGCGAGGAGAGAAAGAGCAGGGTGAGATCTGCTCGTGGCTCCAGGGGAGCCCGACATACCCTCCACCCCGTCTCTGCCTGCTCCCTTCAGTTCATTCTACCTCCCTTTCCAAGTGGAAAGAAATGGAAAACTGGATGTGATATAATAGTGTCCAATGTGCAGTCCTTATGTGACAGCTGGAGCCCTAGTACTGACTGCCGAAGGACATGGGTGGAGTCGGAATTCAGAAAAGCTCTAGGGCAGTAAAATGGCCGTTATAAGGTAAACTCAGCTGGTCTCAAATACAGAGGGTGGGGAGCAGGGACGCTCTGCCAGCAGCATCTCTCTGCTAAGTAAGTATATATGGATGAGAAGAATCAACAGATTCTGCTAAGAGTTGGATTTGAGGGCTCCAGTGGGAAATAAGCTGTATAAGTTTATTTACAATCAACACTGGTATGGCCACCTTCTTTTTAAAAGCAGTAGTCAGCCAGGACATGGAAGCAACCTAGATGCCCATCAGCAGACGAATGGATGAGGAAGCTGTGGTACATATACACCATGGAATATTACTCAGCCATTAAAAAGAATTCATTTGAATCAGTTCTAATGAGATGGATGAAACTGGAGCCCATTATACAGAGCGAAGTAAGCCAGAAAGATAAAGACCATTACAGTATACTGACACATATATATGGAATTTAGAAAGATGGTAACGATAACCCTATATGCAAAACAGAAAAAGAGACTCCGATGTATAGAACAGACTTGTGGACTCTGGGAGAAGGTGAGGGTGGGATGTTTCAAGAGAACAGCATCGAAACACGTATATTATCTAGGGTGAAACAGATCACCAGCCCAGGTTGGGTGCATGAGACAAGTGCTCGGGCCTGGTGCACTGGGAAGACCCAGAGGGATTGGGTAGAGAGGGAGGTGGGAGGGGGGACCGGGATGGGGAATACATGTAAATCCTTGGCTAATTCATTTCAATGTATGACAAAAACCACTGCAATGTTGTAAAGTAATTAGCCTCCAACTAATAAAAATAAATGAAAAAAAAAAACTGAAAAAAAAAAATAAAAGCAGTAGTCATATGTGGACACTGGAAGAAGAATCTTTTAGTGAGAAGTCAGGCCACTTAGGGATGACTTGCGGCTACTGCTTATAAGCCAGTATGATGCTACCCAAAGCAGAAAAATAAAAGCCAAAACAAAAAATTTTAGGAAAACAATAACAGGGAACAAGTTCAATCTGTAAGGTAGCCTCAGGTGACATGTGTGTGAGACTTCCAGTTGACTAAGGCAGTCCTGCAGCTGCACTGATCCTAGACACTATCCTGAGCCACACTGATGTCCCTTTACAAGATCGATCCTGACCATTCCCACCACCTCCTGTATCATCCTCACATATCCACCAGGGACCACTCCCCTTCCTTGGTGGAACTTCCCCAAAGATTTCTGAGACCTGGTCTCAGAGCAAAAATGGAATTTTTCCATTTACTCACCTTTGAAGAAGGCATATGCTGCGATGGGAAAGAAAGGCAGCTGAAACACAAGCTCGCAGAACAGGAAGGACTTGAACCACACCGGGTGGTTCTGGAGCAGAGGGTCTTTGAACTCCTTAATATACCACTGCTGCAGGTTTCTCAGCTGGGAAAAGACGAGGGACACGGTGAGTACAGCCACCTGGCAGGACTGGCTTCCGCGGCTCCAACCCTCCGAACGTGCCTCTCATCACCCAGCCCCTGGGCAGCAGACAGCACTCACAGCTGGCTTCAGTGGTGCAGCCTAGATGGTCATTTAATTAAAACTCACAAGCTCTCCCAGGTGGCACTAGTGGTCAAGAACCCACGTGCCAATGCAGGAGATGTGAGACACGGGTTCAATCCCTGGGTCAGGAAGATCCCCTGAGTAGGAAATGGCAACATACTCCAGTTTTCTTGCCTCGAGAATGCCACAGAGGAGCCTGGTGGGCTACAGTCCATGGGGTCGCAGAGTCGGACACGACTGATGCGACTTAGCAGCAGCAGCACACACACACACACAAGCTCTACCTCAAGTGTTACCTTTGCCCAGCAGCTTTTCTCAGCTCTTCCAGCCCCCGTGTGCTGCCCAGAATTTATCTGTGATAACACATCCAGGTGTGTTGCCTACTGTCAAGAGCAACAATGAGTGGTGCTTAGTAGGCTCTTTGCTGAACACACAAACGGATGTATTGGCCAACAGTATCCTTCTTTATAAAGAAATGATATGAAAACCACCCTGAGGTTTGTCTTTTCACAACAGCAACTGCACACCAAGCTCCAAGGGCCAGATTTCCTCAAGTACAGAAATGAATTTGTCTTTTTTTTGGCGGGGTGGGGGGGTGAATGGAAGGAAGGTAAATCTAACCTTTGTGAAGATGCAATTTTAGACAATTTAAATAATCCCCAAATCTCAAGTTCCTCTTCATTCTTAACTCCCCTAGTTCAAAAGTTTTTTTTTGTTTGTTTTTTAGGAGATCAGTAGGGTATTTGTAGAGGAACAGACTGTATAGCTTTGTGGGTGGTCTCAGTGCTAGCATGGGCCCCACCTCTGTATTAACACTGTCAAATCGAAAGATGCAGATCCATGTTAACGGGGGGGGGGGGGTGGGGGGTGGGGGGGGGTGGGGTGGCGGGCGGGGGAGGAAGCAGGGGGTCTGAGGTTGCCCCCTTTGTGCTCCTAGCCCAAAGCCTAGGGCTCTCCCCAGATAGATTACTGAAGGTCTGTGGCATTCAACCTCCTGGAGATGGCACCTTGATATTATAAGACAACTTCCAAGCTAGGAATCTGGCTTACAACGGAAAATCCAAAGGTCCTTTTCCTGTTAATTTTTAATCTAAAGACTCACTATTGTGAAATAAGAGGTCTCTTTGCTGCGAGTGACCTTTAAGCAGATATCCAGGAACATACACTGTTAGTATAATTAATGACAGAAGGGCCTCAGCTAGATAGCCAAGTGATCTTGAATTTGTATTTGACTTGAAACTTAAATTTATGGAGATATCCTTAGCTTCTTTCTAAGCACTTTTCAGGATGGTAATGTAGAAAATACTCATGAAGGTTAAATCCCTGCATCTCTCTGGACTCTGTTTTCTCATCTGTAAAACAAGCAACTTGGACTAAATGTTTTTTAAGATCCTCTTTTGCTTTCTAGATTTACTTAAAAAAAAAATTGGATGGACTTATTTTAAAAGATTAACAACAAAATTTAAAAGGCATTCTGATTGATTTGAACTTCACCTTCTATTTAATTAGTATTCATTCTCTCAGATTCACTTATTTCATAAATCCAAGCAGATATGTACAAGAAATTTGGTAATTTCTAAGAGGTTCAGAAGGATAATAGCAAAATTTAAAATACAGTTGACCTTCGAACAACATGGGTTTGAATTGTGCAGGTCCATGTACACACGGAGTTTTTTCAATGGTAAATACTACATGGTCAGTCAGTAGCTGGCTGAATCTGGGGATAGGGAGGAACCTGAGTACCAAGGGCTGACTATAAGTTATAAGTGGATTTTCAACTGTTTGGAGGGTCAACACCCGTAACCCCCAAGCAGAGTGAAGAACATGGTACCTGGGGGCAGAGTGCCTGCCTCGAGCAAAGCATTAAATCCCACTAAGCTGGTTACCTAATTATAGTACCTACCTCATTGTTGGTAAGATAAAAGGAGTTAATACTTATAGTCCTAGAACAATGGCTAGCACACAGTTAATGCTAAGATTACTTGAATATAATTAATTAGGACCTGGAGTTCAGTTTAATCTTACTAAAATCTCAGCATGCAACTAGTCATTGATTATTCCTCAAAAAGGTAATAAAACTGTTTCCATTTATACCTGACTCATGCTTGACTCAACTCACCACTGTTACCCATTAAAATATTCACCTGGCCTATGCACATGGATTTCTAGACCAGAGTTGCTACTGAACGGTCTTGCACTCCTCTAAACTTAGAATGAGCACACAGGCTGATTTCAGGCCTAGATGCTCACCTGTTTTTCCTTATCTTAATAGAAGCAATGCCATTGCTGCTGCTGCTGCTAAGTCACGTCAGTCGTGTCCGACCCTGTGTGACCCCATAGACGGCAGCCCACCAGGCTCCCCCGTCCCTGGGATTCTCCAGGCAAGAACACTGGAGTGGGTTGCCATTTCCTTCTCCAATGCATGAAAGTGAAAAATGAAAGTAAAGTCGCTCAGTCATGTCCGACTCTTAGCGACCCCATGGACTGCAGCCTATCGGGCTCCTCCGTCCATGGGATTTTCCAGCCAAGAGCACTGGAGTGGGGTGCCACTGCCTTCTCCGAAGCAATGCTACCTACCCAGATGCAAATGATATCACAAAATGCTTCCAACCTCTCCATGTCCTAATCCAAACTGAATTCTTACTGTTTCACAGTTCTTTTCCAAGAGTTTATCTGGCTCAAACCAAGAAAGATATTTGCAAATTTCAGCCTAACCATTATGTGATCTCTACAAGCTTTTTAGTTCTAGGAGAAAATTCCTTCTCTTTAGGGAGGAAAAACACAACAGATGTTAAAATTTGGCATTTTTTCAAGGAGAATATGAAAATAACTCAAGGTTTTTATTATTATTACTTCCCCATATGGAAGCAACACACCCATCATTGCCCACCCCAAAGCAACAAGAATGATTAGAGACACAGGCCTTCAAAGCCGAGATACCCTGGTATTGCTAAGGCATTTAAATAGCATCAGAGATCGGCACACACACAAGAGTTTCTGGTCAGATCCGGCCTTCTTTGGCTCTTGACCTTCAACAATAAGTCAACTTGAAAAAATAAAGCTGAGAAAACTTTACCAAATCAAATATGTAAGTTTAAATGGGGTCTTTATGATTTTGAACACATTTTCATTGTATTTTGTGAGCAAGGACTTGTGGGAATGGCACATTCAGAAAAGATAAGGAAGGGATTTTTCTGGCACAGTCCAGTGGTTAAGACCTCGCCTTTCAATGCAGGGGATGTGGGTTTGAACCCTGGTCAGGAAGCCAACACCTCACATGCCTCAAGGCCAAAAAACCAAAACTATACAACAGGAGCAGTACTGTAACAAATTCAATAAAGACTTCAAAAACAGTCCATCCAATTTAAAAAAAAGAGAAACTAACAGCTGTTCGGTCTAGAAAGGCTGGCTACCTGGAGTGACGTAGCTGGCCAGGAGTAAAGGGACTCAGAACACACAAGACTGTAAACAGGCAGCTTGCCTGAGTTCTGCTGGCCAAGATCATGTACCACCAGAGCCTATGCAGTAGGCTGAATAATCTTAATCATACTAGCATGTATGAATGTAAGCCTATTTGGCAAAAATGACTTTGCAGATATGGTTAAAGTTAAGGACCATGAGATGGGAAGACTATCCTGGTTATCTGGTGAGCCCTAAATGTAATGACAAGTGTTCTTATAACTTGCCTTATAACTTATAACTCCCTCAGGCAGAGGGAGATTGAACTAAAGAAAACAGAGCAAAGTAAGACAGAAGCAGAGATTGATGTGATGTGGCCACGAGCCGAGAACACCTGCAACCACCAGAAACTGAAAGAGGCCAGGAACAGATCTTCCACCAGGACTTTCAGAAGGAATCAGGCCTGCAAGACTTTATTTATTTATTTTTTTAATATTTATTTTTATTTATTTCTTTGGCTACGCTGGGTCTTAGTTGTGGCATGCACGATCTTTAGTTGTGGCATGTGAACCCTTAGTTGTGGCATGTGGGATCTAGTTCCCTGACCAGGGAACAAACCTGGGCCCCCAGCATTGGGAGTGCAGAGTCTTAGCCACTGGACCACCAGGGAAGTCCCTGCAAGACTCATTTCAAACTTCTGACCTCCAAAACTGAAACAGAACAAATTCATGTTGTTTTAAGCCAATTTATTTTTGTAATTTGCTGCAGAAGCAAGAGGAAACTAGTATACCCTGTATATGTTTAAGCTTGTGATTTAACTCAACTCTTTAACAGTTGAAGAGCCCTGACTTACCCAAGGTGCTCAAGAAGTTCCTGGAACAACCAAATCCCCAGACTTCAGTCCAGAGCTCTTGCCACACACAACCTACACTTTTCCCAGGAAAAGGTAGGTCAGAGATCTTCCTAGTTACGCTTGGAGCTAGAAACAAACCAGACTATGGAGTGGTGGTATATTGTTAAACAGTGGCTCTTAACCTTTTTGGTAAGGTCAGACCCCTGAAAAAGTTGATGGAAGCTATGTAAAACACAGGGCACACACAATTCTGCATACCCCATGAGGGGTTCATGGACCTCAGGTTAAGAACCCCTGCTTTGCAGAGAAAAAGCATTTAAGGAGAAACAGAGGCAAAATCAAATCTTTAGGTAGACAAGTGAGGTTTGCCTATAGTCCTGCTGACAAATTGGAGAAGGGTAGAACTGAGGACTGGAATTCCATGATAGTTGGTTATAGGGTCCAGATGTGAAAATAAATCTGAAAAAATCAAAAGCATTTAAAGCAAAGTTTAGTGTAAAGAGTGTTCTCCAACAACCAGGAAATGGGGCCTTTGTCTGTATTTCTACTCAGATGATCATTCCTATTCAAACACAATTTTAAAAAAGGCCCTATTTGCAAGGTATCCTTAATTTAGAGATTTTGAAGTTGCAGGATCCTAATCTTGAAATCAAGACATTCTCTGCCAATTTCTTTATAGACGCATCTAATTCTACGTGCATGTTATTTCTTTGGTATTAGTCGGTATTTTTAAAGTCCTCCCAGGAAACACAACTTTAAAACCAATTAGATATGTAATTTAGACACTGGTTCATCCACTGTGTGTGTGTGTGTGTGCGCGCGCGCGCACCCAGTGGCGTCGGACTCTGCGACCCTATCAACTGTAGCCCACCAAGTTCCCCTGTCCATGGGATTTTCCAGACGAGAATACTGGAGTGGATTGCCATTTCCTCCTCCAGGGGACCTTCCCGACCCAGGGATCAAACCCGTGTCTCCTGCATCTCTTGTATTGGCAGGCGGATTCTTTACCCACTGAGCCAACCTGGGAAGCCCATTTATCCAGACCCTTTCCCTCAAATACGGACAACTGACCAGAGCTGGGGTATGGAAGTCTTAAAAAAAAACACCAAGAGAACTGTCTTCAAAGGGGGGAAGGTGTTCGCCCCAGGAGCCTGGGAGAAGCCGTCGGGAGAAACAAGGAAAAGCCCAAGATGTCGAGGTAAAGAGCGTCGGCGGGGCCCAAGGAAAGTGGGAGGAACCCTGAGTGGGCGAGGCCCGAGGAGGAGACGCGATGGGGACGCCGGGGCAACCGCTACGACGATGGGCCCCAACCTCAGCGACCCGCGACCGGGACGGAAGCCACCCTCACCTCGACGGGGTAGAGATCGCGCGGCAGCACCCCCTGCAGGTCCATGAGCAGGGTGATGGGGATGTGGGACAGGAAGTAGAAGCCCAGCAACCACTCCAGGCCTCGCCGGGCGCCCAGAGTCCCCATCGTCCGTCGGTTGGGCTGAGCTGGAGCCGAGACGGTGCTCACCGGAACACGACGTCGGGAAAGCGCCGCGCCTGAGCTGTCCCGGGACCCCTGCGCCGCGCCGCGCCGCGCCCCGCCCCGCCCCGCCCCGCCCCGCCGCGAGGGCGACGCCGGCTGCTCCCATTGGCTGAGAAGCCGCGCACGGGCCGGGAGCATCCTCAGAGGCGGCCCGGGGACAGTTCCCATTGGTTGCGAGGAGTGCCGCGTGAGGCGGGGGCGGGGCTTCTCGGCGTCCGCCCGGGGCTTCCAGGGCGCCCGGGGCTCCTCCTCTCAGTGCGCCCGGGGCTTCTCAGGGCGCCCGGCGCGCACAGCCGGAGAGGCTGTGGCCGCAGCGCTAGCCGCCGGCCTTCTCGCCGCGACTGCGTGAGCGCTGGGCTTCGTAGCGTTTGCCCTCCGTGGCCCCTTCACTCATTATTACTCTTCCATTCTTTCACTCCATCCGTTTAGTGCTTGCCGGTGGCTCCTTTGTGCCCGGCCGTGGGGACTTAACGGGGATGGAGCGCCCAGTGCAGTGGGGTCTCACCCACCAGGGCCGGCCGGACATTGCGTGGTGGTGGTCCATGCCGTGGCGGCAGGCCCGGGCGTGGGAACAGCGGGCAAGATCCCTGGCCCGCCGGAGTTGAGGGTACCGGAAGCTTTCCGAAGGAGGTGTAGGAGGCAGCCAGCCTCAGTTGAGAAAGAAGCACGGTGATACAGGAGGAGGTAGAATTGCCAGGCCTCGGTGGTTCGCTGTGGAGAATGAGGGAGGCTCAAGGGTTCGTTTTCAGGCCGCGCAAATATTGATCTTTAAAAACATACTGGACCTGGGTCTGCCCTGGAACAGGACGGGTGGGGCACCCCTTCGCTGAGAAGAGGGACATAGAGAAGTGAGTCGAAGAGAAAGATAATTTGTTTCTGGCCATGTTGTTACTGAGCATTCTCTGCAGCATCTGAGTGGAAACGTCCAGGAGGCAGTTAGATGAACACGTCTGAAGATGTGGATTTGTGAGGCATCCGTGTTTGTTGGACGTGGAAATTTTGAGAGCCCAAGGCCTGTGAGAGATCTTGGACGACCTCAGGGGTCAGGAGAGTAGGGGACTGAGATATACAGGTAGACAGCAGGAGTGTGATGTCTCAGAAACACAGGGAAGAAGGGGGTTCTGCTGTGTCAGAACAATAAGTGGTACCTACCTGTGACTTGTGAAAGCAGCTGTGGTTGTTGGAGGCAGGAGCCAGGCCGGCAAGGAGCAAGGAGGTGGGGAAATGGAGGTAGGGAGTTAGACATGATTAGGAAGCAGAGGAGAGAGATAGGGCAGGAGCTGGAGGGATCTGTGCTAAAGAGAAGGCTGATTTATCTTTTCAGAGGAGAGAGACCAGAGCACTTTCACGTGTCTAGATGCTGCTTGAAGTTTCTGGGTTGAGGGAGAGGTTGTCCAGTCAGGAGAAGGAAAGCAGGGAATGTGGCTCAAGGCCGCCGAGGAGCTGGAGAGAATGGATCAGGGTTAGGTCAGCAGTGCACTGTGCTCCCCAGGGTGGAGCACTAGGACAGAGAAACAGTGGTCAGCGTAGAGGACCCAGCTGAGATCTGTGGCCGTTGATCTGGGGCCTCTCCCAGGCTGTGTGCTTGCTCCATTGTGAGGTCTACGCAGAAAAACGCTGTTGGGGTGAAAGGTAAGAAAGACAGCGTTGATGTTGAGGAGTTGAAGAAGAGAATGATTGAAGAGATGGAGCACGCAGTTCTAACGGGATAGGGAGTGGGTGATGTAAGGCCAGAAGGGGCTGGTAGACTGGGAGAAACTGGAAAAGTGCACGGATTTGAGGCCTTACAGAGGCACGACTGCTGAGCGGTGGGAGAAACTAGACGAATGGGCCGGAAGGGTGAGAGAGTAGAACAAGTGGATACAATGTCTGGGTTCTGGGTATCAGGAGGAGGTTCTGCCCCTGGGAATCTGGCTGAAATGGAGTGGAAGGGAAGATATTTGGAGATCACGGGACAGAGAGCCCAGAGCGCGGGATGGATCGACCACAGAGGCCACTGTGAGCCCACGGCCATAGGCTCGGCGTGTAAGGCGAGTGGCCAGGAGGGAGGTGAGCACGGGCTGAGGTCTGGCTTGATCCTCCGGGAGAGCGGAGGGGACATGGTGTGGATGTGGCCTGGGGAGTAGGGAAACTGGTGACCCCACCTCCTGACCTTGAACTCTGTGGCGTGTGAGAAAGTGAACAGCCTGTGCCGGGGTGGGCTGTGGGAGAGCCCAGACCTCAGGGGCGGGGGAGCCAGGTGTCAGTTACTGCAGGGGGTGAGGGCTGAGGGCTTTGTGAGCCCCGTAGTAGAGGGGTTTGGGCTCTGGTGAGGAGTGGGGAGGAGAGAGCTGGGTGGAGGGGAGGGCCCAGCAGGAGAGGAGTGGAGATTTCCTCCTTGGTGGTGAACAAGGGCTAAACATTATCAGAACACAAGGTTCTGGTGTTCCCGGGGCCTCTAGGGGGCAGGCAGGAGCCCTCTTGCACACCTGTACTCAGGAGGGGGCCTGGCAACACACCCCACCCCACCCCCCACCTGCGGGAATGGCTAACCCCTTTTAAGCTGTACTCCATGCAGACTAACTGCTCTCCGGGGACAGGGGGAGGGGGGCCCTAAGCTGGGGTTTGCCCAGGGAACGTGGTAAGTGTGCAGCTGTTAAAGTGACTGTTCCTCTGAAAGCATCTCACTCAGCCAAGTTTCTTATCTGTAGATAAAGATTTTCAAGGCCAGGCACTTTTGTTTTTGTTTTTTTTTTTTTTTTTTTTGCTTATACACTGGGTGTTTTATTTATTTATTTATTTTTATTTTTTTTATTTTTTTAATGCATATTGGTTTTTTTTTTTTGTTTGTTTTTTCATTTATTTTTATTAGTTGGAGGCTAATTACTTTACATCATTGTAGTGGTTTTTGTCATACATTGAAATGAATTAGCCATGGATTTACATGTATTCCCCATCCCGGTCCCCCTTCCCACCTCCCTCTCCACCCAATCCCTCTGGGTCTTCCCAGTGCACCAGGCCCGAGCACTTGTCTCATGCACCCAACCTGGGCTGGTGATCTGTTTCACCCTAGATAATATACGTGTTTCGATGCTGTTCTCTTGAAACATCCCACCCTCGCCTTCTCCCAGAGTCCACAAGTCTGTTCTATACATCGGAGTCTCTTTTTCTGTTTTGCACATAGGGTTATCGTTACCATCTTTCTAAATTCCATATATATGTGTTAGTATACTGTAATGGTCTTTATCTTTCTGGCTTACTTCACTCTGTATAATGGGCTCCAGTTTCATCCATCTCATTAGAACTGATTCAAATGAATTCTTTTTAATGGCTGAGTAATATTCCATGGTGTATATGTACCACAGCTTCCTCATCCATTCGTCTGCTGATGGGCATCTAGGTTGCTTCCATGTGCTGGCTATTATAAACCGTGCTGCGATGAACATTGGGGTGCACGTGTCTCTTTCAGATCTGGTTTCCTCGGTGTGTATGCCCAGAAGTGGGATTGCTGGGTCATATGGCAGTTCTATTTCCAGCTTTTTAAGAAATCTCCACACTGTTTTCCATAGTACTAATTTGCATTCCCACCAACAGTGTAAGAGGGTTCCCTTTTCTCCACACCCTCTCCAGCATTTATTGCTTGTAGACTTTTGGATAGCAGCCATCCTGACTGGTGTGTAATGGTACCTCATTGTGGTTTTGATTTGCATTTCTCTGATAATGAGTGATGTTGAGCATCTTTTCATGTGTTTGTTAGCCATCTGTATGTCTTCCTTGGAGAAATGTCTGTTCAGTTCTTTGGCCCATTTTTTGATTGGGTCATTTATTTTTCTGGAGTTGAGCTGCAGGAGTTGCTTGTATATTTTTGAGATTAATCCTTTGTCTGTTGCTTCGTTTGCTATTATTTTCTCCCAATCTGAGGGCTGTCTTTTCGCCTTGCTTATAGTTTCCTTTGTTGTGCAAAAGCTTTTAAGTTTCATTAGGTCCCATTTGTTTATTTTTGCTTTTATTTCTAAAATTCTGGGATGTGGGTCATAGAGGATCCTGCTGTGATTTATGTCAGAGAGTGTTTTGCCTATGTTCTCCTCTAGGAGTTTTATAGTTTCTGGTCTTACATTTAGATCTTTAATCCATTTTGAGTTTATTTTTGTGTATGGTGTTAAAAAGTGTTCTAGTTTCATTCTTTTACAGGTGGATGACCAGTTTTCCCAGCACCACTTGTTAAAGAGGTTGTCTTTTTTCCATTGTATATCCTTGCCTCCTTTGTCAAAGATAAGGTGACCATAGGTTCGTGGATTTATCTCTGGGCTTTCTATTCTGTTCCATTGATCTATATTTCTGTCTTTGTGCCAGTACCATACTGTCTTGATGACTGTGGCTTTGTAGTATAGTCTGAAGTCAGGCAGATTGATTCCTCCAGTTCCATTCTTCTTTCTCAGGATTACTTTGGCTATTCGAGGTTTTTTGTATTTCCATACAAATTGTGAAATTATTCGTTCTAGTTCTGTGAAAAATACCGTTGGTAGTTTGATAGGGATTGCATTGAATCTGTAGATTGCTTTGGGTAGTATAGCCATTTTGACAATATTGATTCTTCCAATCCATGAACACGGTATATTTCTCCATCTGTTTGTGTCCTCTTTGATTTCTTTCATCAGTGTTTTATAGTTTTCTATGTATAGGTCTTTTGTTTCTTTAGGTAGATATACTCCTAAGTATTTTATTCTTTTTGTTGCAATGGTGAATGGTATTGTTTCCTTAATTTCTCTTTCTGTTTTCTCATTGTTAGTGTATAGGAATGCAAGAGATTTCTGTGTGTTAATTTTATATCCTGCAACTTTACTGTATTCGTTGATTAGCTCTAGTAATTTTCTGGTAGAGTCTTTAGGGTGTTCTATGTAGAGGATCATGTCATCTGCAAACAGCGAGAGTTTTACTTCTTCTTTTCCTATCTGGATTCCTTT